TATTATTATTATTATTATTATTAATTTCGCCAGAGAAATAAATTCTAAGACTAAACTCTTAAAAGCACTAGCATCTAAGCCTATCGGCTTCAAATTATAAATAATTTCATTGAAATTGTAAGTAAAAATGCTTTAACTTTTTTTTCAATATATTTATTTTTTTATATATATCAACTAATACAATAATAATTTTATAAAAAAAAAAGGGAAATTTTAAATAAAACAAAAGTTTGAAAGCTCTTTATTTCCATTTTTTTTTTTTTTATTTGAAAATTAAAAGTGAATTTACTCAATGAAGAAAAGTAAAATATAATAATAAAATATAAACAGTTGTCATTCTCGCTACTTCAGGGTCCGAAATTTGATTATGAAGCGCTGCAAAATGCCGTAAGATGTTACAAACATATAATTCATAACTTAATATACAACTTTGTAAAATTCTATTTTCGATTTTTTCATCTAATTTTTCGAAAAGATGGTTTTGAATTCGTTTTTCTACAAACAATCAATATTTTGTAAACATTGGCAATATCATAAAGCAATTAATAAGCGCAAAATTATATAAAATTTTGCATACGTAATTACTATCCTCAAATAACCGCTTCCCGTTTTTTATATGGCATACGTATACGTGAAAGTAGACAGTTTTTAATAGCAGCGCTATAAATTAGCAGGGGCTTAATTCCTTGCTCTTTCCTTCTCATTATAGATATAATGAAAAAAAAACCAAAGAGTAGGTAGCAAATATAATTAGTTTTCGTTTATTAGTTTCTTTCATATCGACGAATTCTCAATTTGATGTTCCGCAAATACTTCAAGAAATTTTAATGAAGACTTTTTCTGGGAATGTGAAGAAATTTTAAATAATTCAAATAATTATTACTATTAACATAAAAATCGTTGTGGTCAGAGGGGTAATTACTTATCAAAAATTTACTTTTCGCTTTCGTCCTTTTTCTTCAATTGAGCGGTAGTCGCTTCTCTGAAAGTTGGCTTTCGATTTCGTTTTTCAACTGCTTTTGTTTTACATATGAGACAGCATTCCGTGTTATTGAATGAATTCACTTTATTTTTTTTGCATCACGTATACACAACAGCTGTTAATTACGTTCTCTCATAGATTTCAAATTAAAAGAAAGTCCAATCTGTTGGGTAAATTTGCCGTAAAAATACATCACATTTTCAAGATCGCAAGTTTGCTTAGTCGCAATATGCAATTTGAATTTTTGTATAGACCGTTGGATAAATTTATACAATAAACACTATAAAAATAAAAAATTTATAAAAGAAGTCTTTAAGACGTACGATATTTGGCCTGATATTTTCATAAAATTTTCATATGAAGTGTTTACATTTTTGTTCACTATTCGAAAATTTCCATTAAGTTCACTCCTCTCTCAGACTGCCCCTTTTCATCAGACTGCTTATTATTATTATTATTAAAATTTCCTATTACTTAAAATTACAAATACTGAGAGTAATATCAATAAATCTGTGATTTTTCAATATAAATTTATTTTGTATGTTCTGTGTATTATTTCTCCCATAATTAGCTCAACTAAAACTAGACGTTTTAAAACTAAAAACAACAATTCTTCGTATAGAACACCAACAAGTTGAAAAGGTACTAAGTAGTATTTTTCAAAACAGAGAATTTGCTTTAGAAAAAGTATTTTTTATATTCATCAACAATAAAGCCGATAGCCTTGGATGCTAGTGCTTTAAGATTTGAGTCTTAGAATTTATTCTCTGGCCGAATTAATAGTAATAATAATAATTTTAAAAAATTTACAATATCGAAGCGGACGCTTAGACAAGATGTTTAAAATTATTTTATATATTCACCAAACGAAGATATATTATCTCCCTAAAAATGCGTTAATTCTAAAATAAATATGTTGGACACAACGGCGTCCTTTTTTTTTTTACAAATGAGTTAATTTTTTTTAACAGTACCTTTTAGTCAACTAAACGGTGGAGGATAAATCTCAGTGGAGTTTGTTTATTGCCAAAAAGTTAGTTTCGATTCCTAAGAAGGAAGAGAATGCAAAACGTTGGTAGCAAAAATCTTTACAGCAACTTGCACAAATCGTTAATGCGTTGCGCAGCAGAAAGAGTCTAAGAAAATAGAAAGAAGAGCTAAAAGCGTCAATTCTTTATGAAATTTATATCGATTTTATGGAATTCATTATTCGGATTTTATACAGATGTTGACAGCAACACCACCAATTTATAATGTTTTTGACGTATTTCAATTGTTTTTAATGTGTCCATTCGTCTTGATGTTGCTGTGTTCCGTATACCATACCTCCCCTTTATATCACGTAGAGATTTTTAGATTAAAGTGTTCAAGAGTTCAGTATGCAAGATTTCAGAAAGAATGGCCCATCGAAGCATCGAAGAGCGGATATACTAAAACTGAAGAGAATTCAACAGTGATGACTTGGAATAATAATAACGATTCAAAAACGATTGCAGAAAAAATTGCAAACCAAATTAAATTTAGCTTAATAGGTCAAGATGGATAAATCAATTTGTTTTGTATGCGTAGGTATCTCGAATTTCGCTTTTTTCATATCATTACTTACATACTTGGAATGGAATTGATGGACGGTTTTTTCGAATTAGGCTGCCACGACTGAACAAGTGTTCACACTCTTGATGGGTAAATTTTAATAAATTTTAAATCTTCTTTTAATATCTTATAATATAATATCTTATAATTTTCGCCAATAATAAGGTTAGCATTTACGTTTATTTATAGTCTCCATATATCTCTCTTAGGTCTCTTTTATTTGCTTTAACTCCTGTGATGATATTGAAACCTCGAATCGTTGACTTCGACTAATCGTACCAAACCATAAACTCGATTTCGATTTCGAATTTGACCGTTCCGAAAAATGATATATTATAAGGTTTGAGGTCACTAAAATATCAATTTATTCTCTGCCGGGCTACATATATGTGGTCTTATCTCAAAAACGTTTACGCATGCTTTGCGTGTTGGACCAGCAGCAAAGGTGAGAGCAGACATCTCGTCGGGCAATATTGTGACCTTGCCAAGTTCAATATCTTATCTAAATTGTTTGAACGAATTGTTACTTAACAAATAACTTTCGGTAACAAATTTTATGTTCGCATTCTATTCCGGTATGGCTTTAGAAAGACCAAAACTTTTTTTTTTAGTTAGCCATAAATTATTGCACTTCAAACTGCAGACCTCTGGCTTCCTTTTATACTATACTTAAATTGCTAAGTTGTTATCTTCATATCAAATCATGCATGCATGGTTCAGTTTAATTCCACGTCACCATTGTTGAATTCACCGTGAGGTCAAGTGGCCTTCGAGGCAGCCACTTAGGGACCTTTTTATTCATTCTATACATCAACGATCTCCCTTCGGTGATTATAGCAAACTGTATCTTAATGTACATTGACGATGTTAAACTGTCTTCTTCCTTTTCCTTGAAATTGCACTTGCATCACTTGCAGTGTGACTTTAGTAGTTTGGTTAAATGGTGCTCATTAGATTTTATAAAATTAAATCTTGAAAAAAATACAAAAAGTTTGCTTTCGCAAGAAGAAATTCATTTGAGTATTTAATCGATTTACAAAAATCGGAAAATGTAGATACGTTCATGGATTTGGAAGTTCTGGCCGACCAAAGAGTGCGTTTTAATCCATACTTTGGCCTCTATAATAACAAATAAAGCTAGATCGTCGTTAGGTTTCGTTAGACGATGGTTACTACATTAAAAAAAGAAACTATATCTGACCATTACTTGAGTATGCCTCAGTTTTATGGTCTTCTTCCTCTCCGTGCAATGTAGATTCACTACAATCCGTTCAAATGTAATTGCTACTCTTTGCCCTTAAGAATTTGGACTGGGATCTGCTTGTCTCTTTGCTTTCTTATGAAAATAGATTGCGTTTGTTTGCCTTACCGTCACATGAGAAATGTAAATTTATCCTCATTGTTTCCTTATTAATTAAGTTAATAAATTACACTGACGATTCATATTAAATGTGACATTTAGTGTCCCGAACCGTTTTTCTAGGAACCTTTTCTTTATAAAGCTTAGACAATGTAGATATAACTGCGCTGAGCTTTTCAATCCGTTTAGATTCGTTCGCAAAAATCGAAATGATACCCATTACTTAATCTCATCATATCATATTCTTGAAGTTTGGACAAATCAACTCACTTTAATATACGCGATTTATCTTTGCCCTATTTGAATTAACATCGAATTTTGACACCTTAGTCGAAAATTTCAGTAACTTTGTTCACCCTTATCGCTTGCCAAGCTTTCGCATGTTTGCAACGATTTCAGAGTTCACTCTCAACTCGCATCTGTATTTCTGTGCTAGATATGTACATACTTTTTTTTTTCTCTCTTGTTTACTTATACATGAATTTTATTCTTATACTTTTCATTTTCCTTTATATACTTTGTAATAGGCATTAATAATAATTTGCATAAGATTTACTTCTACGAATCAATTAAGTTTAACGGTTAATTTTTAGCAGATTTAGTAGATTTTCATATGTAAATGAATAATTATTCATTAATTCTATCAACTGAGTGCATTTCGTAACTTTTGAATATGTTACTGCATAGCATTCCTATAATCGGACAACTTTTCATTCGACACTCAGACCAAGTAAAAACATAGTGAGGGACGTGTGACCATTAAATATCCTAAAGTACCCTACAGCATCCTACTGTTATTCATATGATAATATTTCTGAAAATAAGCTAATGATATAGGGGAACTGGTCGAATTTAACCCATTTTTAATTGCGTTCGTCCATGGGTCAAAACGCATCAGTTTGCCAATTGCATGAAAATATCTCAAAAATTTGCGTGCTTTGAGTTGAATACAAAAGTACATGGACAGACATCAAAAGAACTATCTATCTAAGTCGATCGATGGGTCTATCTGAAGCCCTTCTTCATGTTAAATATGTCCGCATTAACTTAATATATGTTGTACTACAGGTGACGTAGGGTATAAAAGCTCAAGTGCAATTAAATTTCATTTAGTCTATCTCTTGGTATGGATAGACAATGAAACACAATTCATAATATTTTCTTTTCTACGATATATGCGCTAAAATGTCATATTTTCTATTTAGAATAAAAGTGTCCTCTCTCTCTCTCTCTCTCTCTTTCTTTCTTTCTTTCTTTCTGTCTTTCTCTCTCTCTCTCTCGCTCGTATACTCTCTGTCTCTCTCTCAAAATGAGAAAATCGTTCGTTTCCCCTTATTTTATTTTATTTTTTTTAATATTTGTATTGTCTCAAGAGTCTCGTGTATTTTTTGACCACGGCAAAAAGGAAATTCATGTCGATTATTTTGTTGTCGTTGTAAAATTTGTCAAGAAAATCTGTTGTTTGCTTTTTCATGGGATGGCAGTTACGGTAAATACTTTTCGGTGAGCACACATAATAATAATAAAAATAAAAAAAATTTAAAAAAAAAAACAAAAAACAAAAATTGTATAATAAAACGTAAAGCACAAATTTTATAAAAGAAAGGCCAAAAAAATCGCAAATAAATCTTCGCAAGAACAACTCAATTAGACAATAACAATTTTGTGTGTGTGAAATAATAATTATAATAAAAATAAATTATATAAGTGAATAAAAACTATTTTATGAAAAAATAAAATTATATTAATTTTATAGAAAAACAAAAAAAAAACAAAAAAAAAATCAATATAGCAAAAGAAGTGTCAACATCAAAAAAAAAAGTTAAAAAGTTTATCGAAGTTTGAATTTAAGTAAGAAGAAATTTTTTAATATCAAAAAGGAAAACTCGTTTCCATATAAACGATAAATTTAAAAGTTCTGTGTGTATGTGCGTGCTTTTGCAGGTCTACAAAAAAGTTATTAAAAATTAAATGCAATGTCCAACGAAAATGCCATAAATGAACACAACTGGGAAAAATTTTCATATGCCTTAGGGCGAATCTTGAGTATACGCACCAATTAGGTTCCAAAACAATGATCACATACCTCTTCTACCTCTGAGTAGCTGAGCGAAAGATTACGCGACCATATGGCATTTCAACAATAAGCTTCTAAATTTTGAATATATTTAGAAGTGAAATGAAGGCTTAACTATTTTGCATCCATGCGTTATGATGGCACAGACATATGTAAACGAGAGTTAGGACATGAATCTCTTAATTATATATATGTGTGCTTTGTGACATCTGAGAACTGATAAAAATTTATACTTATTTTGCAGTTTCACTATTTCAAGTTTGCGGAATGTGTGCGAATGTGTGCCGATAATTGAGAGATAAATTGTGAATGAAGAAATATGTGATAGAAATAACGGAAATAACATTGCGTCCTATTGGCGCCAAATATGCGAGCAATTATCATTCAAACAATTAATTTCTTTTATTGTTAACGTACCTCACCTGCCATAGATTTGAGTGAGTCACTGTTTTATTATTCTACTCTTTGTAAACTTGTGCCCTTTCTTTATCATGATTATCACCACCTAGCAACCATTTAATGTTTTCTTATTTAACCCTTAGGGTATAAAAAGTTTTTCTATATATGTTATATTTACGCATATATATATATATATATATATATATATATATTATTAGAAAGTAGTTAACTAACTCCGGTTTTCGGTTAGAGAGCAGCAAAGTCATAATTGCAATAAATTCGAATGATAACACGCAAGTATAGTGACGGGCTAGCTAGCATTGCCCCATCATTGATCGTCACAGTGTAGGTAGTATTTTCTCTCTTCTCAGATCATATATCATTCCTATAATATATTGTTGCGTAGTTGTGTATTCGCTTGATCAAGTTAGGAGCTTGAATCGATTTAACTTTACCGCAGGTCTCCCACCGCAATGAAGATGCCCTTTGGCATATAATACTGTACCCAAAAAGTAAGACAACTATTCGCGTCAAAATTGCGCGATCATATCGAGCATAAGAGATACTTCACGTCTGCGTCAAATCGCTCAAAAATCAGAATTATATTAACGGTTTTCCCGGATTATCGTGGTGTTCTGCATTATGAATTCCTTCCGCCGTATCTCTTACACTTAGCAAGAAACATTACCTCAGTGTTATGCATCGTATACGGAAAGCTATTCGCGAAAACAGAACGGAATAGATTTAAAAAAGAAAAAGATCGAATTGTAGGTTGCTTTAATAAAGTTCATAGCGTACATTTGAAGTTTTTATGTACATCCGCAATCATACAAAGTCATACAACAAGTTGCTCTATATCGAAGATTCACCCTAAGGTGAATACTTTTGTTGCTTGTTTTCAGTTAAGAATAGGAGTGTGGTGTCATTGCAATTTGTTGCATTTTATTGACATTTTTTTTTTCTTCATTTTATTTATTATTCCTAGATACTAATTTACAAAAATATTATCGATTTTTTTCATTTTATTGTGTATAGATTAAATGAACATTTTGTATAAATACAACATCTGGGTACTTATATGAAAATTGCATTGTATAATAACAACCCAAGACAATTTATTTTTATGAAAATAATGTATTCATTTTATTTATACATATATATAAATATATATATAATATTATATGTTCACGATACATGCAGTAGATACTTAGTAAAAGAAGGGCACGAAATAAAAACTTGATAAGAATAATTTTCTTATTGTTTGAGCGTAATTTGGGATTTGTTTCGATTAATAACTCGTACGAATAGAAAGAATTTCGAACAGTTGCTTATATAGAATGTGATAAAGTTTTCATACGCCGTGGTGGCCACTATAGTAACATACATATAAGCTAACAAGTAAGAAAATTATATTCGGTCGTGACCGAATCTTTTATATCCTAAAAATAAGGGGAAAAAAAACTAGATTTTCACACCCTATAATATTGAGTGGGCGCGGCTGATTTACCTTATTTGTAAAATGTAAGTAGAAATTTGCATGGTGCATGTATTGTACTTTAAGAGTAACAAGCAAAGAATACAGAAAACCCAGATGCTGACGCTCTCTGTTATATAGACGTATGGGCGTGGTGGTTTATTTTTAATTTCCTTTCCAAATTTGTAAGCGATATTTTCATTGCTGCGAACGGGAGAATGCTTAACACAGTTCGTCAGACGGACAGGTGGACAAATGAATGGACGGACATGCTTAGGTGCATGCTAAATTTCAAACTGACTAAGAATTTAACAACTTTCTAGAGTTTCAGAACGTTTCTTCTGTGCGTTAAATATGACACACTATAAAATTAAGTAGGCGTGCCCCGTTTTTCTCAATTTTTGTACAGCGTTGCTTATAGGATACATGGTCAAATTTTTGCCTGGAATAGTTTATGAGCAAAGAATCAACTTTTTATTGCTTGGGGAAAAACAGAAGTGTCCTCGCATCATACAGTGCTGTAGCCGTGCTCTTCGATCGTATTTTACCATTTCAATATCATCCTGCGTGCAAGAACTTCTAATGTTTCTGCCAAAGTTGAAGTCGGAAGCTTCATTTTTGCGTCCAGGAAAATGTTTACAACATTATACAGGCGGGCGGAGAGCGAGATAGACAGACAGATAGACGGACATGGTTATATCGTTTTAGAATTTGTTGCTAATCAAGGATATATGTACCTTGTGGGGGCACTGAAGCTTGCAAACGTTTTGATAAAGTCAATATACCCCTCGTCCTTACGCCATAGGTATAATAAAGATAGTAATAAAATTCTTTTTTTTTTTTTTAAATCCTGGCTTGGAGGACGTTATTCTCTAAAGCTGGTCTGCATGTTAAAGTAAGTAATTATAACCAGGGCTTCAGTTTGCATGGTGGTTGCTTTATTTGACTTCAGCAAATGCTTTATGGGTTTGCTATTAAACTTTAAAAACTTTTTCGAAAACGTTCATTGAGGCCATTATCAAATCGGTTTTATTTTCAAAATCTGTTTCGTATTGAATTTAGTACATACGTACGCATGTATCTCTCGATTTACGTGCTACTACATTTACACGACTTTGCTTTCATTTCGCTTTGCTTTTGTATACAAACTATCAGTTTATTATAAATACGTTTCTTGCGAAAATTGACAAACGGATCGTTTAAAAATTAAGATGTTGGACAACTTTGTTTTTAGAAGATTTTTATATCTGCCATCGTTTGTTATAAATGCATGTCAGGTTTTCATCATCTTTAATCGGTTTAAGTCCGTCTCTCCGTCTGACTGCGTGATGACTGTTTTATGATTGACCTATATGTCTTAATTTTCTAAATATTTTTATTGAAATTTCGTACAGTGGCTCGCTTTGACCCAGCGAGGAAGAGTATTGAAAATGGTTTGATATCCGAGTATTCTTCGTAAAACGCATATAACTATATAAAATATTAGGCAATTTGGTGCAGGATATTTAATATGACTATGTTATTACATTACTGTCTGCATATATGTATCACATAAATCAATAAGTTTGCGGTCTAATCAAGAAAGATCAATTTTTTATTCACAACATACTCCGTCCTCGTCTTATGTTATATATTATTATGATATGTCATATGTCATATGTCATATGTTATACAGTATATATGTATATAAACGTTTTAAGTCCATTTATGTTGTATTTGTTTAGACCATTTTTCCCAGAATTTCGTGTCATATTCTACACTTCTTCGAAATACAAGCTGCAAAAGTGTGAATATAGTGTGAATAAAGTGTTTCAGGAAATTGCGAATCGATGCTCACCTTCTGCTACTTTTTCTTTTTTTCTTTATATTGATTTGATAAAAGTTGAGAGTTAAGTATAAAAGTTGAATATATGTTTTTGTGTAGAAGGTGGAAAATATTTGTACCAACATTATAAGCGAGTTTAATCGATTAACTAGATAAATATCTAGAAAATATTTTACTTGCAATGATTCAATATCAGCATTATTTTTTAGCTATTACGAATACTTTTGTAATATATAGCCCCACACAGCTAAAGCAAGCTAAACCCGAAATAATTAACAAAAAAAAAAAAAAAAAAAAAAAAAGAAAGAATTATAGACATTGCGAATATATGAACTCAAGCCAAGAAATAATTATAGTAAAACGTCATCAATATTTAAGCATCATGTCTGGCGAATTGCATAAACAATGCTATCACCAGATGTGTGTATGAAAATGCCCAGAATACAGTTATGGTTAGGTTGACAGCACCTGTTACGCCACTGCACCACAAATGTCAATTTATTTGTGTTTATATGAAATTTAAAAGCAACCGAAAAGAAAAAAACAGTATAAGTAAGTAAACAGAAAGAGAGAAATTCACATGAGTTCTTAAACTAGTTACGCGTGACTTTGCTTTTGATTTTAATATTATATGAAAACTCATGCTCACATGTTTTATGAATACTAAAAAAAATAAAAAAACAAAAAACATGTGAGAAAATTTTGTTCCGTTTTATGCCAACAAATTGACGCTCAACGCAGGGTAAGGGGTAATGCATTTTTTAGGTGGGGGATACGCCAGTTCGATAATCGCAATCATTTTTTTGCATTCGCCTTTTAGTAGTCAAATCATAATTTAATACTTTCCCATAGGTCATAAGTCAAATAGATATTCCAGATATATGTCCAGTTCAATTTCTTCTATATGGAGTAAGAGAGAGTCAGATGAATGAACAGGTCAGACTTAAATTGGATAAGAGTTTTACGATCACTGAAAATATGTCTTATATATCTAATGCGATTTTTGATTGTCTGTCGCTCGGGATTTCACAAAAATCAGAGCAATTTCATTATGAATGAAATGAATGTTAAAAGAAATTGAAAAGAAAAAAAAAAAAAAAACAAATAAGAAAATTATATTCAGTCGTGACCGAATCCTTTATACCCATGATCGTTATCCTAAAAAAATCAAAAAAAACGCGAAAGAAATACATTTTCATGCTCTATAATAATGAGTGGGCGCGGCTGTTTTTCCCTATTTTGAATATAAAAGTTGTAGGCATGTTGTGTGAAGAGCTTAAGTCACTTCAAAATGCTTTTGTCAATTTGCGGGCGATATTTTCTATTTTCACTATCGTGAGAATGTTTACCACAGACAGACAGATAGACAGACTAATGGAAAGATCGGAAAAATTAAATTTTCATACACTATAATATAGGGTAGCCGTGACCGTTTTGTCCACTCTTCTGCAGGAACCTACAGCATCGCCCATAAAATGCGTGTTCCTATTTTCGGACATTTATCTGCTATAGTTCAGGAGTAATGGGCAAAAACTCAATTTTTTATTTCTTTTGAAACAAAGAGATGTTCTCAGTTTTTGTCGTACAGTGTAGAGACGTCCTTCGACCGATTTGGCTCACTCCACTTCAATATCAACCTGCGCGCAAGAGCTTCCAATGTTTCTTGCAAATTTTAAGTAAATCGTTTACCATAGAGATTACATCGATAGGCAGACAGACAAACGGTTTGTGGGATCTCTGAAGCTTCCTCCTGCGCGTTGAAGACGTTTCACCAAAATGAATATACTTCTGGGTATAAAAAGCAGAAAACAAGCAGTTAGAAGCTTGCAACATGATGAACTTGTAACTAAATCTAATATGCGCATTTAATAGGTAGTTAGATAACGTTTACGTCATGTAATTGAACAAAATTTTATATGCGAGTAATAATAATAATGTGTTATAATTTAAATAAAACAAGTAAAACCATTACATTATCCACGCTCCACCATTATATACCCTACCTCACTTCGGTTAAAACAGTTACTTTTTGAAATAAGGCGTCACATCCGAACCATCAACGGTGTTGGTACGGTGTTGCGTACCAAATTTCATCAAGATACATTAAACGTATCCGGCCTGCAGAAGGAATAACAATAATCAAGACGGACAGATAGACGGACGGGAAATTAAATCGATACAAAAACTGATTCTAAATCGATCGGCCTAATAAAGGTTGGGTGTGCATCTCAATTTCATCTGCACATATGTAATATGCTCTTATACCGCAAGAAGTGTAGGGTATAAAGAACACACAAACAAAGTAGTGTAAAATTTTTATTCAAACTTTAGAAAATGGGTTCGGCGGCAAAAAATTTATTTCATTTTAAGATTTTTCTTTTTAACTTAAGATAAAGTTTTGTTCCATAGAAACACAAGTGTACACACAGCAAAAACGTATCACAAGAAGCTTCGGAAAGAAACACCTTTACTTAATCGTACTTAGTTCTTATACTTGTTTTCTTGTCGTACATTTAAATAATATAACAATTTATCAAAAAAAATGAATTTGTTTTTTTTTTAGTTCCCTTAAAATATTACAAAATGTACAAAAAGGCAAAGCAATTTCTCAAGGGGTTAGTGAAATATGATTATATGAGTTAGATAGAAGTGAGGAGAAATCGTACGAAGAAATAGCAAAACTAATTGGAATTAGTCGTCCTACTGTCTAAAGTACCAGAAAAAAATTACAATAACACAAATACCATAGAAAATACACACCGATCAGGCCAAGCAAACATTTTTACCGAGCCGTGAAAATCGAAATGCTACATGCATACACATGCACATGAGCTCAAAGCTAGTGCTATTGATAACGCATAAGTTTTGGAAAAATATAATCAAATTAATATTCGTCCCGAAAAAAAACCAAGGAAATCTAATCCAACGACAGCAGTACAAAATTTATTACACAACTGTAAAGCTCGATAGAAGGTTGTGTCAGGATTACGGGGTGCATGACAAAGGATATAGTCGAACCATATACATGAGAAGTGGAGTGATAGAGTCTCTCTAGTTTTTCCACGCAGTTAGTCTTATTAATTGAAAGTGTGAGCAGAGGCGACTCACGTCGAGAGAGACAATATCAATGGCGGATGAAAATGAGAATTGAAAATGATAATATCACCAGCATAGCCCAAAAGCGAGAGATATTGTTAGGAAGCAATTTAAAAATCAAAAAATAAAGAGAGAGCTCTGAGAAGCACCTTTGGAAGATCTCCTATGGACGACATCTTCATCGTGGCTAATGAACATATTCTTATAAAGATAAAGGTCATATAATTACGGAATCAGATAGAAAGGATCAAAAAGAGTAGATTAGACTTTTTTCGAATAGATTTTCATGTTAATATAATCAAAAGTTGATATTATTATATCCAGAATACAAGCAATGACAATATGAGCCTTCAGCAAAGGCTGAACTGATTGCAGACTATAAATTAACAATATTATATGAAACATGAATAAATTGTTAATGACAGAGTCTGAAATATTACAATTACGTGGAATGGAACAACTTGTGATTAAAAGGTCGCGAATTTCACGAAATTCGACGACGGAATGTAGACAATGTAGATTTTGTTAAGCGAAGAATTAGCGGCAATTAAATTTGCCATAGATGCATTCGAGACAATTGTTTTCGATTATGTAATTTCTATGTTAGATAACTCTTGGTATAAATTATCGCTAACTTCTATTCTTCTAGGCAAAGAGTTATTTTTAGTTTAATTTGAAACGAAGTGTACGCACTTCTATTGCGGGCGTAAGCTTCGCCTGTGTAGGGGAATTTTAGATAACCGCTCCCGTACGAGATGAGGCGGCCTTGTGCCTAAACCATAATTCTCAGATTGTGTGTGAATAAGTGATGTTGTAGATTGAGTGAAATGAATCGTACGCTGGACGAATGCTGCCGATGCCGCTGCCGCTGCTTCTTTCCTTAGCTTCCTCCAATTTTTTTGTCAACATGCAAACGCATACATCAGCACAATAGAGCGTCTTAATCACGGCGCCTTATATCGATCGTAACTTTATCTACACTAGAAAATTATCCATTTTTTTTTCTTTTTTTTTTCACAATAAATTCAGTAAATTATCTATCTCGTTTAGTTTATCTTAGCGCAAAAAATTTTTCAAAAAAATTTTTCTTTTTCTTATTTTTGTAACAGCAAAAAATCGCTAATAGGTCGATTCGATTTTCTTATGATCACTTGTCGCGAATATTTGCAAAAAATCAAGCGCAAAATTTTAGATGGATTTTTTATTTGTATATATTTTTTTATTTGAAAATTATTTCACAGAGCAAGAGTCAAATTCTATCTCGTAAAACGGTTTTATTACATATTGCTTACATTCTCTTGGATATATGCAACAGTGTTTCCATATTAACGTTTCCAAAAAGTATGCTGTATTCTTTCAATCGCGGCTGAAGGTATTAAAAGCAGAAAGTGGAAGTAAAAGAGGGGAAACAATATTAAAAATTATCTTGCATCATGCAAGGCGATAACAGTGAAGAGCGCTTATTTAGTGCTAATTCTAGTCCAAAGCATAGTCAAAAGCCGGGTAGCGGGATATTGGGCCTTTTATCTAAGCGTTCCACCAAAGTTGAGCCACAATTGCAAAATGATCTTATGCAAAAAGAGCAAATAAATGATACACGATTTGCTAAATGTCATCTCAATAATATGGAGCATAACCAGCCAGTATCTGAAAACGGTATCCCAAAGCCAAAAAGTCAAACTTTGCCGGCAAATGTTAAATCCATTAATATGCATAGTGAGATAGTATGCGTTGAGAAGTCTCATAGCAGCGGTTTGATAAATTTTCATCGTAAAATTAGAACGAGTAAAAGTAGGGATCATGTAACGCGTTATAATGGTGATGGCTCACAAAGTGATGGTGGCGGTAGCGGCGGAAGTATGGGTGATAGTGTGGTTTTGCGAAAAACTTCAAAACACAAATCTCCGAATCATAATCGCTTTAGCCATCAATTTAGTTTGTGTTGTAAAGCGGAAAAAAAGCCGATTGCACCACCGGTGACAGTACGTTATAATGCCAATCAAATTGCTGGTCAAGCAAATAGAAAAGAGAATCTGTCGTTAAATTGGAACACTATAGAGAGTACTTCTTTGTCTATGAACTCTTCAATAATGAATCCAAATTACGCTTGCTTGCAAGCAATTGGTAACCAACTATCCGAATGCGCCAGCGCACCGCAAAGTCCGGTCACGGCGAAACCTTCACTATTTGCCGATGATGAACACAATCGTATTTCGCCGTCATGTAATTCGGTAAAAAGTATACCCAATGATTTATTAATATCGAACACTGGTGGCGCTAGCGGGTGCAGTACCTCGCCGAATGTTAATAAAATCATTATGGGTATTAGTAGCCCTATACGTCCTATGGATGTCTCGGATTGTCGATCAAGATTACGGTTAAAATTATATCCACCGGGCAAAGAATTTCCATTGGAAACAGAATCGCATGTTAAACGAGCCACCACTCCGCAGCACATGTCCTCACCGAATATAGCTGCTCATCCTATCGAGGTGTTACAGCTAAGTCAAGAAGAAGATCATCAACCATTTCGCTTCTTTTCACATGAGAATATCCAAGTGCAAAGACAGGGTTCCAGTTCGGGTTTGGCGCGGCAGGCCTTAATGGCTGCACAAGTCCTAAGTTTAATACCGACAGAAAAAGCACGAGAAAGGTAAGTAAATTTCTCTGGCAATTTCATAAGTTTAACGAAATTCTCTAATATTTACACAGAAGTCTTCTTGACGGTCGTCTGGGCTCGTCATCATTATTAGGTCCCAGTGAATTGTGCAAAGTATTGCCTAATAAAGATGTAACCATATTTGTGGGCACGTGGAATATGAACGGTCAAAGTCCACCTAAGTGATTTTTAAAAAAGAGAGCCTTAGAGAATTTTGGTAATAACATGTTTTTACTTTTGCGCTACATTTCAGGCAAATGAACGATTTCGTGTTACCAGCCTCGGTCGAACATGTACCCGATATTGCAGCTATTGGCACTCAAGAATCTAGTCCTGATCGTTTTGAATGGGAAGTTACTATACAGGAGACTCTTGGGCCTTCTCATGTGCTTTTCCACTCTACCACTTTAGGTACATTGCATTTAGCGATTTATATGCGCCGCGATTTAATATGGTATTGCTCGGCTCCCGAAGATGCCAGCATGTCGGTGCGTACCGGTTCAGCATTTCGCACCAAAGGGGCTGTAGCTATATCATTTTGCCTTTTCGGTACTTCCATGCTATTTGTAACCTCGCACTTAACCGCTCATCAGCAAAAGGTCAAAGAGCGTGTATCCGACGTTAAACGCATCATACACGCTCTTGACTTGCCTAGAAATCTTAACTTGAGGCATAAGAACAAGGATGTTACTCAAAATTTTGATAATGTTTTCTGGTGCGGAGATTTAAATTTTCGTTTAGGAGAACCGAGAGAAAAATTGCTAGAATGGATAGAAAATACAAAATTTCCTTTACCCTCGCATCTACCTCATGGTTATATGCACACGGACCAGCTATCATCGGTTTTGGCTGATGGTGCCGCATTTCGTGGTTTCATGGAGGCGAACATAACATTTCCACCTACTTATAAGGTGATTCGTTTCTTTATTCAATTCAATTACTACTTAGGTTTACAAATCGTTTTATAATTTTAGTATGATCCTGGTACTCAGCACTTTGATACCTCATCGAAGCAACGTGCACCAGCATATACAGATCGTATTCTATATAAATATCGTCAAACTCAAGGTCTAACCTTACGCCGTCAAAGTATTTTGCCTGGTATGACTTCACCGTCACAACCACATGTTCAGTGTTTACTTTACGATTCAGTGCCGTCCATAATCACCTCGGATCATAAACCTGTTTGGGCTTTATTCAAAACTCGCGTTAGGGCAGGCACCGATTCGTAAGTAATCCAATGGATCACCAAATGTAAACGATTTCTATACTCTACTATGCTTTATATATTATAGCATTCCATTGGCTGCTGGTTTATTCTGCCGTGATATATACTTGGAAGGTATGAAAAGAAGATTAAATAATCAGTATAGCGATTCATCGGCGGTATGTTCAATACAGTAGAGACTTAACTGGGGAAATAAGCACAAATAAAATCACTACTGGAGAGCGAATAGAATAAAATGCTATTGCGTCTACAATCAAAAATCGAAAAGTTTCTATACATCATCTGTAAGATGTTAGTTTTCATTTTTATATCAATGAACGGAAATTTCATGTTCTTGTAGACTATTGTCTGCAATTGCAGTAAGTAAGACTTATTATTATTCAGTAAATAAGATTTAGAGAGCAAGTAATGTAATTTCAGAACCCTTAAAAACGCGATACTGACATCTTACTTCCTAATAACTAAAACTATTTTACTTAAAATTATAAATTAAGTTAAGTAAGAACTGAAACAAAAAGCGTGAAATAGCGTGAAATTTATTCGGCTTGAGTCGAATTTCTTAATGCTTACTACTTATGAATTGGATTATTAGTAAGTTTTCGTAAACGTAGCTAGAAGGCGATATTAATTCGTTATATGAGAGATCTTTTTACCTTACGATATCAAAAACCCTACTTAAATCTATGCAAATATGTATAAATACAAAAGTAAAATTTTTTAATTTTTGTACACTTTTCAACCAACTACTTGAATTAATTTCTATCGGTATTCGGTTTTTATTAAACGAAGAGTAATTCATATTCACGTACGTAAAAATTTGGAAACATCTGTTATTCAAAACATGATCACATATTTGCTTTCATTTTTCGGGGCAACAATTGTGGAATATTGTGTTGTCATGATATTTATCAAATCACTGGACCTTGATTGGCTATATTGTGTTCACTTGATTAGGACGAATGATAATTAAAAAGTGCAATATTTTCATTTATTTTTATTGGATGTAATAGGATCTCTTACCCGATTTAAGTGATTAAAGCGTTTCCTTGCGCATCTTATAATCGTGTATTTTGGTTTCACGAACATTGGCTTTTTTTCATTCAATTGTAACATGCATTCGAACTATCAAAAGAAGCAATCAAAGGCTTGGGTTTTTTACGGAGGCGGCAACAAACAACATGGTATCCGCACGGTTTACATCGTTCATATCCCACCAAGGTTAGAGAACGAAACAGTTCAGAGTTATGCATAAGAAAATAACCCTGCGACCTGTTTGAGTGATCGCGTAAACTGTCCTGTGCTTAAAGCTCTGTGGCAAGCACTCTATAAATATGATAAAGATTTGATCCTCTAATACTACCCTAATCGACTTTCTCGCTTGCTCTGGCATAGCTTATACACTCCACGATAAACATTAACGCAATTCATCGTTGAATCGTACCTAACCGCGTTATTACAACAACTTAGTTGAATTGGTCTCTACCGCCGCACTAGATGTTCTCACTCCCAAGTCGAACGTACACAAATATCATTTACTCTTCTGCTTGTAACTATACGCTCCCATTCCTCTCTAACTCCGACATGCACAGGAGACATCACGAGATTGGCTTGTCAAATATGAATTGTTATTGCCTGTCAGAATAGGTTTCACAAGTTGATACTACGTTATAACTGGCCGGTAACGTTAACGTCTACCTACACGGATCTCGTTCTTCTTTCGTCCTTTTGTCTATTTCTCATTAGATTCTGTAAGCACTCGATGAGTTTCAATTGCAGTTTGAAATATTGAAGTAACAATTTATCGGAAATGCTGTTTTATCGCTACAAGATCGTAAGGCAGATTGACGGATGTTCATGTTTTCATTCGAATCCGTTGAATTTACGAAAGAAGCTATAAAGTCACTTATATTAGATAAAATATCTAATATAAATTTATGCAGCGTCATACATACATAATGACGTGGCGACAATGCGTTTCAATTATATTTATAAGCAAAAGTATTATGTTTATGTAAATATGTCTGCGAGGACTAATTCCTTTCTTTCTTTCCTCTTTTTATATATATGTGTATCATCTCATGCAATAGTAGAAGATATGTAGTTTAAATTTTATCTCTTCCCTATGATTATAATCGATTACAGTTTTGATAAATTAATGAACTGATGAAGGAAAATCTTTTAAGTTTTAAAACTATCACCAATGACGTAATGATGAGTTCGAGTATAAGAATTTTTAAAATACTATTCGCTCTCTCGACAATTTGTTTTTGTACATAAATGCGTGACAAGAGGAAATGACTGTGGAATTCGCACCTGTTTCCGTGTAAAGTATTATATATATTATAATTTAGTTTTTTGAGAAATCCTTCTCAAAATCAAAAAAAAAAAAAAAAAAAAAAAGGAAAAGAACAGTATAAACATTGTTTTAAATTATTAACAATTTCTATAATTTATTTGGTTATCGCTGTTGGGTATAATCTGGTAATTTAAGTGAAAAGCACTGTTTATGTAGAAATTAAGAAAAATATCCAAACAATCTCGAGCAAATGTTTTCTTACTAGAATTTTTCAACTTTACTTAAGCTAAGGCAGCATAAAAAATCTCTCTCTCTCTCTCTCCCTCTCTCCTCTCCTCTCTCTCTCTCTCTCTCCTCTCCTCTCTCTCTCTCTCTCTCTTTCTCTCTTTCTTTCTTTCTTTCTTTCTTTCTTTCTGTTTCTGTGTGCCTCCCTAGATTTAACAAATATCGCACAATTAATAAATTTTTCGATGCAATTCGTTAATATACTATAAAATTTTTTTTTTAAAGTAAATAGCGTTTAAAATAAGCCCTCCTTGCCTTTATCAAATCAATTTCAAATATTCATTATATATTCCCTTATTAAGACAACGGAAGAATATTCATTCATTGAAAAATGAAGTAAAAACACTATGGTTAGGCAAAGCCGACTTTTAGACACCCTACACCACTTCGCTTAATCCAGACATTCATTCATTCATCATGACAATACACCATAAATTATATATTATTTTTATGTAAAGCCATGATTTTCATAGGAGACAGCCCACAAATTGCAGAAAGCAAAAAACTTTAACTAACGTTGTTCAAATCCAGTAAATTCAGTTTGCCTATCAAAGATTTTAGTACTTTTCGACTTGCGTTGATCATAAAAAAACTACAAATTAAATTTCGTCGCCATGGAAGTGTTTGCTTTTCATCAGAGCCCCTATATCTGTTGCGATCTAAAAAATAAATTTATACGATTCAAATTCCCTATGATTGATTTACTAAGGACAAATTTTTATCATAAAATATTAAAAATTAGACCTTTTCTGGCATATAAAGCCTTATTTTTCATTAAAAGCCTTATATGGATCGAGATGCAAAAACTAGGCCTATGTGGTCCAAATTCAGTAAGGTCGATTACTATGTCAAATTATGATTGTGCACAAATTTTCCTAACGAAATATTGAAAATTAGCTCTTTTTACGTTTATATGATAGGAAGTTCAAAAAATTATCTCATCCGATCCTAAGTTTTCCCAGCAATTTAAAATGCCGATATGCCCTTACTAAGCAATTTTACTATCAAAATTCTAAAAATTGTAATTTTTTCTGACGAAAACAACGAAAAGTGGGTATATGGTGAGGGTTCGAAAAAGCGGACCGATTTGAACCATTTTCAATAGCATTCAATCTTGCGTCAAAGCCCATTTGTATGCCAAATCCCATCGAAATATGTGAAAAATTGCGTCCTGTGTTTTGAACACAAAATTACATGGACAGACATCAAACGAACAAACAAGCTTACAAGCGATTCTAGATCTAGATTGGTATACTAAAAGATGGAGTCGCCCTCAAGTCTTTCTAAGTGTTACATACGTTCATAAAAACTTAATATACTACTACTACTACTGTACTGTACAAGTGGTGTTGGGTATAGAAATCAAACAAATTGAAAGACATTTTTAGGTAGAAGCTAATCACTTTAGACACAATATTAAAGAGAAAATATATAATATATTGTTATACAATAATTTGATTGTAGTAAAAATAGAATATTTATGTTCGCGTGCACGTGAATCTTGTATACCCACCACTTTGTTTAGCATTTAGAAATGTCCGGTGCAAATTTCATAAGGATCTTCGATTCGAGGTCGATGATGATTTATTGAAATGTTTGAAAGAATCTTTTTTCTGAAAGATTATTTTACAATATTTTAATATAAGTGAATTTTAATTTTTGAATGTACGGAGTGCAAGCGTCAATTCTCTTTCTTAATAGCGTGCCAACAAGAGAAGGAAAAAAAGATTACATCAATTCCGAATCATATATTGATAATAATTTTTATATTGGATCTGAGATATGTCTTTCCTTTGCATTTCTGGATGTTAGCCTAACGTGATGTTTCTGTGTAATAGCATAAAAAGAAAACAAAAAAAAAAATAAAAATAAAAAAACCAATTAAAACAAAAACAAAAAATAAAAATGCTTCTCAGTGGTGGGCATAGAAAAAATTGTAATTATTTTAATTCAAATAACATAAATGTAGCTAAATTTATACACATACACATAGTTACCTCAATGTACAAAAAGCTTAATAGACATTTTTTAAATTTGTTTTATAAAAGCTAATAATAATAAAACTGATATTATTTTTACCTTTAAATGCTAAATAATATGCCAGACAGACAGGCAATCGTCACCTGTTGTGTTTCATAATAAAATTAATAAAATTGATAAAAAAAAAAAAAAAAAATCATAATAAAAATTAAAAAAAAATGTAATTTGCGCTCTTTGGAATATGTCTTTGATACCGCTATGTACTTATCCTTGCGTCTACCTATTGGTTTAGGTAAATAAATAATAATTCTCGTTGACATAAAATAATTATAATCTAAACCCAATGCTATTGAATGAATAAACCGGATTCTTGTTCAAATTAATTATTATATTTTAATTAATTATAATATTTGTAAAATATTTTGTGTATATTTTGAAATTTTTTTCCTACAGAAATTTAATTGTGATATTTATTTCGTTATATAGAATTATTTTTTCTTGTTGTTGTTGATTTTTCTTTTTTTGTTAATTTTTATAAATTATAAAATGAAAGAAAATATATTGTTTATTAAAGGTTTATTTTTTAACTAAAGACTAAAAGTGCACTTTTATTATTGCATCCATCATCACTAGTTTGTCAAAACGTTTGCAACACCTAGAAGGCAGCCCCATAAATAAAGTATATGAATAATAAATCGATTTAAGCATGTCCGTCTGTCCGCCTATCCGCCTGTTTGAGTATCTGTCCGTGTAATGCCGCAAAAATGCACGGAACAGCATCAATTTTGGCACAAAGATTGCAAGTTTTTGTATGCGCAGTGGTACCGAAATTGAGGCAAATCGATCAAAGGACATATTCACAGTGCAACGTAATCTGATATCACATCTATTTTCAAAAACAAGACAAATTTGATAATGTGCTCGTTACTTATCAACGGCAACAGATATAAATTTGTATTTAGATTCTACGGGTGGTCCTGCAGTGCCTGTACAAACCGGCCACGCCTATTCAATATTATATATAATATTAAAACTCCATGCATTTATCAAAACGTTTGCAGCACCAAGACAGAGAGAAACTTCAGAGACCATACAAAATCTTCAGGTTACTAGATATTGATCAGTATTACATGACGATAGGTTTAAAAGACTCGGACTCGGACTCGGTCTCGGTCTCGGCCGAATATAATTTTCTTATTTGTTTTATTTCAATTTATTATTGATGAAATAATTTTCATATATACATACGATTAGGAAGGATAGTCAGGGTTACTCCTTCGCGTTCAGATTACATGAAATTTCATCTTTGGCTGTAACTTTTCAAATGGAGCATAACGAACGACCAACTGGAAACAATTCTGTAAAAAGATGTTTTAAACTTCGTACGAAGCAAGTTCGTTCAAGTTAATTTTCTTATGTAATGTTTAAAAAAGCAAGGAAAACCCTATGCGATCCCGGCTCTCGATATTCAAACTAATTTAATTTTAATTCATGCCTGACTTCTCATTTATGAAAGTGTCTTATTTAGTTACTGGACTTTTCATACAAAATTATTTGCAAGTTATCCAAAGGATTTAGTGGAACTCATATTCGGTTATGGTAATTTTATGTGCACTCGTTTAACTCATCACCTTAACCGTACAACTAAGTATTGAAGCGTTGAATGAACGAGTGCGACTGCGTGATTGCCCCAAACTTAACTTCGGTATATGATTATCTTTGCATTGAGTTTGGGCCGTTCTCTTAGAGAACTGCTTTTAAGAAGATACCGGAGAAGAAGCCGTGGAAGAAACTCACTTTTTGAAACCGTGATTCGTGAAGGTATGCGGTTAGTGGCAGGATCAAATGACGAAACATTGGTTGCCACTTGTAATCGCCTCCATTTTTCTGATTTCGATGCTTTTAATTTCTTCCTTCGTCTGCTCAGGAAATAATGTCGTTAGCCACCGAAATTGGTTATATTATGTGAAGAAAATCTAGCATAAAAAATTCTCAGACTTTCCATTGCACGAACTTTGACGTTTGGTGAAAATATATTAATAATCACGTTAAACGAAGCTCTTGGTACGCATAATTTATTCATTTACTTATTCATTATATCGTACGTTACTTGTATTACAGGGTACATTAAGTTTGTGCGGATATACGTCATCATCTATGCGATATGCTCATCTTTTATTACACCAATCGCTTCAAAATCAACTTCTGAATGGATCTAAGCTTGTCTGTTCGTCTGTTGTCCGTCCATGTATTTTTGTGTACAACCTACAGGTCGCAATTTTTGAGCTATTTTGATGAAATTTAGTGCACCGGCGTGCTCTGGCCCAAGGACAAATGCGTTTGAAAATGGTTCAGATCGCTCCACTTTTTCGACCACCCGTTCGCACTGCAGATTCGCAGATTAACTCCTCCATCACGTCAATTGAAACAGATCGTGGTACACTAGGCCATCAAAAATCTTCAAATAAATTGACTGAAAAAGGCTGTAAAGACTTTAAGCATTCACATGAGCTAGCCGAGAAGACTTGAAGTGTATCAATTTACCGAACTAACGATTTGAGTACCACTAAAATTAAATCGACGGAATTCATTTGCATCAAATCCAGCGACATCGGTCAGTCGAGGGAATCTTCATTTCTAATATTGTTCAGAATAACTTGGAAAGCAGTAACGGCAATGGAACTCCAAAGCGTGAAGACAATGTAAAGATTACAACATGGAAAGCCAGATGTACGGAATAAGTAAACGCAATTCAACGACTACAACCCTGCCTGCTATCCCAATGAAGATTGCGATGCAGAGTCGTCAAAATATTGAAGATTTCCCGCAATACCCAAAAGATAATATAGAAAACAGAGAATAATATGAGAACACTATCAGCTAATGATCAAAATAACTTTATTAACGAACAACAATGTCGTGAGGACAAAACATATGACAATTGGAGGAGTGTTGACCAGCGTAAAACAACATTTATCCCATTCCCATAAGTTACGAAGATTGTTCTTCACGTAATCCAAGTTAATTTCAAAGTGAGCAATACGCTACTGTAATCGAGGAGAGCCCGCAGAACTACAGAAAACTACAAATAGAGATATCCTACAAAGAGACCTAAGTAAAAGATCGACAAAAGATAGGTAAGAAAAAAACGTATTTTCTTTTTATATGTTCATTAAAATAAAGTGTCATTTTTAGTTGAACAAGCTGATCGGAACGCGGTATCTGTCTAAATGAGCGGTGCGAAAACTTTTCAACTTTTGCGAAGATGCTGAGTTTTGTGAGTAAATTAGTAGTTAGTATGAGTTGTAGCTGAAGTTAAAGTATGAGGGTCTCGTAAATCAATATAGCTTTTCAATGTTAGTACAACAGTTGAATTATATTCAAAGAAACTAGCGCTGCTTTAACCCTTTGCATTCGAAGTTGTTTTTCATTCGTATTACAATCCGCGAACCGCGACCGTCATTTGTCACCATCAACAAAACACCCGAATACTAGTTTTTACGATTTGATTTTGTTTTTATATTAAGAACTGCAAATTATTTACAATGTCGCCGTAGCGGAGCCCTCGAGTTTGAAGATCAATTTTAAATGGTTCCATTGCGGAGCCCTCGAGTGCAAAGGGTTAATATATCTAACCAAATCTACAGCGATCGATAAAATGTAAAAATTTTTTCTTTTACTTCTTAGGGTGCATTAAATCCAACTTGGCGATCCGTGTCTGTCGCTACGATTTTTTGGCCCCATAACCATACCGGTTTAGATGATCAAGTGCCCTCTTTTTACACATTGCCCTTGCATGTATGATGCCTATATACGTACCCTGGAGGGCAATTGTTACAAGGGCAAAGGTCAAGCCTGTCAATTTGCAAAGACAAAAGGCAAAGATTTTTGTTTTTTTTTTTTTTTTTTTTTTTTTTTTTTTGCTTTGAATAAAAAGTATTGTCGATTGCATGAATGTAGTAGTCGCAGTCGAGAAATTAAACTAACTTTCACATATTTTGTAAATGAATTTAGAATTGAGAATTATATTTTTGTATTTTCAATTTTAACTTTTTTGTGAAATTTTAACGAAATAAAAGCAACTATAGTTAAACAGAAAATTATTATTTTTCCATGTCACAAGGTTTTCGTATGAAAGCGTGGACTTTGCTCGCGAGAACGGGCCTGATGAAAACGATCATCGGTAAGGGTATGACGTAACTCCTGATTTTGTATTCGATATTCGCGCATTAAAGTCTCATGCTGTTGCCGTTTCTGTCGTTCGACATCAAGTTCCATCTAGAGAAGAAAAATATTACGCAAAACAAATGCTATATATATATATATATTTACAGTAATTAAAAATTACCAATAATTCTTCATTTCTTTCTTTCAAACGCAATAATTCCTGACTTAATTTACTATCCATTTTGATTTGTTCCTCCAAGTCATGACGGGTTTTACTCAATAGTTCCTCCAACGTCTCGGATGATATTCTTTTATTTTTCTCAGTCCTTTCGATCTCTAGTCTTAACTTCTCATTTTCTGCTTCCAACTAAATATGAAAATTATAATTAGATTACTCCTACACATTGGCGCCTGCCTCTCTATGCAAAATTGCAAATAATGTTTGATCTTAAAAACTTACATTTTTCCGTACATCGTTTAATTCGTTTAGCTCAGCATTTAGCTTATCTTTCTCTATATCCAATTTTTTACACAACTCTTTGCGTGCGGTTAAATCGGTTTCCAATAGACGTTGCTCATCCAACGATTCTTCCAATTTTTGTTTCAAGCATGTATTATGCACTTGCTGTGAGGTCAGCTTATCCTCTAATTCAGTTATTAAACTATTGCGAGAGCACAATTCTTTCTTTAGAATATGAATTTCACTTTCCAATTCATTTAACTGGCGTCTATAGGTTTTAATTTAAAAAAACAAACAAAAACAAAAAAATACATTTTTCATTTGTAAATATTTTGCCTAAAAATTTATAGCTTGTCTCTATGGCTCAAATTGTCAATATAAATATGGCACAATTGCCAGTCTTTTCTTTTTTTTTTTTTTTTTTTTTTTTTTTTTTGTTTATTGAACATTTAAAGCTTTATTCTTAAAACAACAGCAACAACAACGACACCGTATGCCGCTACTATAAGGAGAAAAGATGAGAAAAATGCAGTTAAATGTAATAATACTATAGTTTATATAGATTTACAAAAGAACGAGAAACAAAATAAAATTAATGCTAAACGTAGGCATACTTCATATATTCTGTTATGAAAGAATATAAAATATAAGAACAGTGCAATATGGCGCGACCCATTATTAAATGCCCTACACATCATCCTAGAGTTATCCATTTGTCGCCTTTTCAAAATATAGAAAGTGTTCGAAAAAGTGATTTGATCTGAACCACTTTCAATAGTCTTCGTCCTTGAACCAAAAGACGCTAGCTAACCAAATGTTATTTAAATAAATCAAAAATTGAGACGAGAGTGTAAGGTGAATATAATAAGCAAGACGGACAAGCTTATATCGATACGAAAAATGATTTCGAATGGATCGGCATATCTCTTCTAAATAGATTTAATACACCTTTGTGCCACAAGTGGTGTTCTATGGTATAAAAATTAATCATTTCTTATTATTTGGAATGTAATAGGTGCTTGCATGAGTTTTGATCATCGACACATATTGATGAAAGTGCTAAAGCAATGCGAAATATTAATATCCATAACGGTTAAATTCGACGATGTCGAACATTCTCTATATAAATTGATAATTTTCCATTTCGTATAATTTTAATTATTCAGTGTACACAGACACTCGATATTCGTTACTTTCATTTGCTTTCGTTGGTTGTCAGGCAAAAAGAAGAATAATTTCCTGTAACGCATTTTGATTGGCGATGGCGATGAAAGGTACGACAATCCAAAGCGCAAAAATTCATGGGTTAGTCCAGGAGAGCCATCGACACCGAAACGTAATATTTGCGATCATAAAATTTTACTGCACGTATGAGGGGATCAGCATGCTGTAATGCATTACGACGAGCTGCTAAAACCGAATGAAACTGTTGCTGCAGATATCTGCCCACTATAGTGGCTAATAGACGCAAAGTTTTGCATGCCAACGCTCAAGGTAACAGCTCGAATGGAAAGCTCTGCCACAATCAACGTGCTCAGCAGACATAGCAGACTGCTTGCCTTGCATAGGGCGGTGAAACACCTCTTTTTCATAATCCAATTATTCAAATTTTGATTGGTGTTTTAATTCATTTTTACGATGTTAAAAATTGCAACAGGAAATAGCTTATAGGACTGCGATAATTTATATATGTGTATATGCCTTATAGAATTTCTGATTGACATATCGTTAATTATAAATCAAACAAACGCATTCTGAATTGTTTCGTTTGTGTCTCCAATTAAATTGAATTGTAATTTATTTATACTGACAAAGGTCCGAAATGACTACCCTATGGAAAATGGGAGAAAAAAAGTTCTAAGTTCTAAGGTTCAAGGTGACATCGTGCTCTGCTAGCTGCCAAGTAAGTATCCAAGGAAAGAAATTATTATTTAACACACATTTAATGTAAAACAGTTTTCGAGTTGTGTCAGCGCCTGCTGCTGCTGCTTGTAACACTATTTATAGGTAGGCACAATTTTTTGCTTTCGCGCTTTTTGAAATAAATTTTAAATATTGATAGCACATGAAATAATTCAAAAGCGAAGATATTTTCAATTCCCTCCTTAATACGTTTTTTCTCCTCCTTCTTATCGCTTGATTCTTTCGCGTACTCTCCCTTGTGCTTAGAGCTAATGTCCTTTTGATTTTATTCGCTCTGAATAGTCCTCGCCCTGTTTGAGTAATAATTTGTCAGCGTTCTCTTCATTTGAGAATAGATTCGGAGAATTGGTAACCACTACAGGCGGTTTAATAGCTAATAAACTGTGATAAACGACTAATTCAATAAAACTATTAGTCTATTGCAATTCAGTTACATAATACACTACAAAGGCATTTTAACAATGGTCACTGATCCGAAATTCTCGTATAACTTGAAACTTAAAATATGAATATACATACGATAGCAACTACAAGTAATAAGAGAAAACGAGAGAAATGAAAAACTCAATCACCCTTATATCCGCGAAAAGGACAGTTAATCGTCCTCTTGGAACAAGAAACATTTACAATCGATTTGGCATTACGAGATAAGCTGCTCCATGACTATGTAGCATTAAAAAAAAAAGTTGTCTGGATGATGCAGAGTATCTGTGTTCTGTGCAAAATCACATTCGTAAGTCTATCAAATCTAACAAACGTCAAGTTGTCATAGATACTTGGGCTCTTGCGTTAAAATAATCTTATGAATAATGATAAGACTATAAACATTTAAGTACGAAACCAAATCTAATTCCAATTTTCACAATTAAAGATCAGATATGCGATCATATTTGCTGTTGTTATACAGATATCTAGCGCAATTGTTTATGACAAACGCATAATTGGTTGTTTTGGGCATAATCAGGATTGCCGTGTGGCTTAGCACTGCCAGTTATGACTCGGATTAAAACGCATTTATTTATAATAGTTTCAAGTTAGTTTCACTGGGTGTAATAGTGAGACGACAAACATAGCTTTCTTAAAATGTTGCAAATCCTTACAGTATGTATTTAATCTAGAATTCAGATTGTAAACAACGCTGACAAATGCAACATAGGTAGGAAAGTAACATCCAAACCACCGAGCGATATAGCAATGGCTTTGGTATTAGTTGAATTAAGTCGTAAATGGTTTTCCTCAGACTAAATGGACAATATTGCAGAGATTATTGTTTACCCGGTCGACAAAGTCCTCAATAAGACACAGCGGCCGTGAAAAATATATATTCGCGCATCATCAGCATATAGATGCTTTTTTGTATTGTGACTGGAGGTTGTCAAATCATTGATAAGAACACTGAACAAATCATTAGTCAAAAATATATTTTTAAATCTTGAAATGATTGATCGAATAAATCGAATGGCAATTCATTTATCAATTGACGAATATTTTTGCGTTGGCATGGCTTCAATTGCCGCAATCACTTCTCATATGAAGAAGTACATGTCGTCTGATAGATTTATCTTACCGTTCATTATTTGATAGGTACATAGGAAACAGGTAAGAAAACATTTTGCAAACTGAAGAAAACTATCTTTCGAAAATAAACAAACTAGACACAACAAGTTAGTTAAACATTTGCGTAAAGAATCTGAATCCCAGCACTTAGTAGGAAACAGTACATTGCCTGTTATTTTATCGTATGTATGTCTTTTTTTTTTTTTTTTTTTAATTTAACACTAAGTCTATCCTTCACTTCATTTTTAGTAAGAATGCCTTGTTTAAGCGCGAATAAGATAAAAAATCCGAATTTCTCAGCTTACTCTCAACTTTGTAGATAAAATCACACTATTTAGACCCTTAGAGCAGCGATTATGACGATTAGTTTCTCCATTTATTTTATAAGAATGCCACCATTCATAACACAAAATACGACGAATAGAGGTAAGTAATATTAATGAAAATAAAAATATAATGAAGAATGAAAATAAATCAAATAATCATTTAAGTAATTTCCAATTTAATTATCATACATTACCTGCATTCCGCTGCTTCATTTTCAAGACTCTGATTGCTGCCTTCCAGCATAACTGCATCATGTGACAGACTCCGATAGTGTTCCAACATTTCTTCGCGTTCTTTTTCCTTAAAAAATTTATATAAATATGTACACTTATGTAGATTTAAAATAAAAGGCTTGTAGTACGTTTAGTAAATTAATATCATTATTATTATTATTATAATTATCATTATTATTATTATACCCTAGTCTACTTGTGGTTGGGGGAGCATTTTAAATTTGGACGCATATATGCAACGCCCAGAAGAAATGGAGATAAACTCACCTTTTATTATACCGATCGATTCGAAATCACTCACTTTCCAAATCGATATAAATTCGCTTGTCCGTCTGGTTTTTGAGGGCGTTCAACCTACAGACCGCAATTTTTGAGATATTTTTTATACCATTCGGTACATTGATTTACTTTGGTCCCACGGCGAGTCGAATTGAAAAAGGTTCAGATCGCGGATCATTTACCGCATGAAAGTTTATTTGGAAAAGTCGGTACATAACGGTAAATAACTGTAAAACGATATAGGGCATTTAAGGGTGGGCGAATGCCCACTAGGGTATTGTTACACGTTATCTAATTCTTTCTTAATTCTTTTTTAAACCAACACAAAAATGTTCTGCTTATGATAATCAGTAAGGTATTTGTTATTAAAAATCGCAAACGGCATAGCTATCACAATAACCAATAAGTGCCGATTTTTCGCACATGTAAATGATAATTTGGCATAAGAAATCAATGTAAACGAGGGAATCACTGTAACGGTTTAAGAAACGCGTTTATTTTTTCCTTTATTCCGATTTTATTTAGCCAAACTAATATCAAATTATAATATTCGATTATCAGAAATATATTTGCGTACTATTTTTGAGAGATTTGGAAAAATCATCCATTACCGGAGCCATTCTCACGAGGCTTCTATAACTTATGAGCTCAGTAATATAAAATATAACTGGTGTAAAACAAGTTTAACTTAAAAAATAAAAACCCCTTTATTCTGCCTATCTTTAAAAATTCATTTGAGCCAATTAAAAAAAAAATTTATTTTTTCAAGTGTTAAAGGTGTTGTAACACGGCATAGTTGAGATTTATATATTGGTAGAGTTTTCAATAAAACTTAGCTTAGCTTAGATGCTAGTGCTTTAAGACTTTAATCTTGGAATTTATTTCTCTGGCTAAATGAATAATAATAATGATAACAACAATAATAATAATAATAATAATAGATTTATTTACCTTATGCATCAAAAGATCTTCGGCCTTTTTAATTTCTTGCACATATTGACGTAATTGTTGCTTTAAACGCATTATTTCCCCTTCAGAATCTTTTAATAGCTTTTTCAAGGTTGTTATTTCGGCTTGGCTCTCCGCTAAATTATTCATTAGGTGTCTAACATATGAATAACAAATTTTAAAGCATTAGGTTAGCACCGATTTCTATATGTATGTATGTATGTATGTACGTATGTATATGTGTATACATGTATGTATGTAAATACGTATGCATGTATGTATATATGCATATATGTATATGTGGAAAAATAAGCGAGAAAGTTACGTTTGACTTAATCGTTACAAATTATATAATAATGGAATTTCTTGATGTTTGAACATGAAAGCAGGAACAAGAGATTTTAGAAAAAGAGTGGATACTTTTAAAAACCGTAATGTAGATCCTCAAACTGTGTGTTATGGATGAAAAATAGTCCTTCCCTTTCACTAAGTTCAACTTTTACGGCGTAGACCATAGTTTGACTGAAGCATGAACGCTACTAAAAATGGTTCGAATTGGACCACTTTTTCAATCGCTTATTTCGAAGACTCGTCGTATGAATAAATGTAGGCTGGTGTAGGGTAATTTAATGATGAAAGTAAAGCATACAGCAATGTTGCGTTATAAGTCATTAATTTGACACAAAAACAGAAAGATAAACTCACACACTTTAAACAAATTTCACTAAATTATTTGTTGTAATGTAATTATTTGTATAATAAAATAGTGTTTTTTTGCTTGAATGTATCTGAAATTATAAATTGGCACAAACTCATTGCAATGTTCTCGTTTTGAGCACATTATTGCGATGCATATGAAAATTACATAGTGAACCTATTTACACAATATGCAGTTAAAGCAAGTGCATGTAAAACAAGGTACTATTATAAGAGAGTAAAATGAATTTAACTAAATTCGACTTACGCATTTTCCATTATGGCTTGTTCTCGGCTGATTTTCAAGGCAGCAATCTGTTCACGTAAACTCTTACTTTCAGTTGAATTCTCGTTTAATTCTGAATCACGTTCATGTGTCTGAGTAGTAAGTTTGCTAATATAAGTAATAATTAAAAATTATTGATTTTGTTAATATATTATCATAATAACTAAAGCAAAATGGCATGTTTAAGGCTAAAGCCACGGTAAATTTCGCTGAAGCCTTTTCGTAAGAAAAATTATAATTTTTGTTTTTTTAAACACAAATAACGTACTTAAAATTTTGAGATTTTTAAATTTTAGGCTTATGACCACATACATATTCTCGTCTTAAAAGAAGCAAAAAAAAAAAAAAACTGAAACTATTACATAACCGGGTATCCGATATATTAAAGACAATTGTTACAAATTGTACAAAATTTCATGTAATTCATCCAATCATCGATGTAGTCTGAACAACAATGTATTAGCGGGAGAATGCATCACTAATCGATTTGGCCGGTTAATGAAAAAAAAAAAAAACTTTACGAAATCTTTTATTTAAGAGGTAACTTTCTTTTTAAGCAATACCCGCAATTATAGTGAATTTCTTTAAATGCTTTCTACGTTTTTCTTGATGTCCTTAAAAAGACTTTTCTGTCATCCTTTCCATATTTTAGATAACAATTTGCTTTCTTCTGCTAGAACTATCCTAAATAATTACGATTTTAGGAAACTTGACAAGAGATACATTTAGATGTTACGATAATACGTAACGTTCTATCTCCACTTAAATTATATTAAATCCTTTTTTAGATATTCCATAATGAAAACTTGCAAAATAACACATGATTATATATTTGAAAATAAAATCTCAAGCCGATATGCAATAAGCGATATAAGATAGAGAATTATTGCGAATATAATTAACTTGACTTTCTTTCTTTGAAAATTACCTTAGCTGTTGCTCAAAGTCATGTACTTGTTTTTCCAAGTGATTACGTTTTTCTTTGCTGGCTTTCAATTCATATTCTAATTGATAAGCTTTTTCAGTCTTAAGATCGAGTTGAGTCTAAAAAATTTTTTTTAATCAAAGATAAAGCGAGATACTCGTTTTAGTTACGTTAAACTTACTAAAATTTTATCCTTCTCTCGTTCCAAAGCAACATAAGTTTGTTTTAAGGCCGCTACCTCTGTACGTAATTGTATGGCCTCTTGCTGCGAAGATTCACGGTTCGAGTCTACGGCATTTAAACGGGCTTGGGCCGATTCTAATTGGCTTTCGCTTAATGTTAATTTATTTTGACTATCGCTTAATGAACGTTCGGTTTGCTCGTGTAGAAGCCTTCGTGCGAAACAACAAAACGAAAAAAAAAAAAGAATTAAATTTATACACATTGCATATGTAGCGACATACTTTAAGCTATTGTATGTGCTTTGTAATTTACTGTTTTCCTCTCTTAATTTATTGTTCTGTTGTTTATAAGTATCCATCTCTTCTTTTAATAGAATAATCTGAATTTCACTGGGTTTATGCGCTGAAATTAAGTCACGATTTTCTCTTTCCGCTTGGTGAAGCTTACGATTTAGTTCCTCATTTCGACATTGAACTTTTTGTATTTGCTCATCGTGCATTTTTGTCATACTAAGAATTTTTTCTTTTAAAGTATCGCGTTCACAACGCACTCTTTCTAAATCGTTACGAGCGCAATCACGCTCACGTTCAGCTCTTAAAATTACCGCCTGTACACAATCACTACTGCCTGTAGAGGCGCCTGACCTAGCTGAAGATGGCAGCGAGGTGGGTAAGTTGTCAAAATCAATATTACCTTTCACACACGGAACCAACGCTTGACTTTCTTTTAAAGACATTTCAGATCTTAGTACGCGTAGTTCTTCATCTTTTGATTTGATTTGCGATTGCAGAAAATCGATTTCTTTCTCTGATCCTACCTTATTAAGAACACGTAAATACTCTTTTTGAAAAAAATCCCTTTCGGACTTTAAACGTATCTTATCTTCATCTAAATGTTGAGAGTGCCGTAACTGCAAATCTTCAATTTCTTGAAATGAAAGAATAAAATTTATCAATGCTTCCATTTAATCATAAAATTCCATTAAATTTACCCTTATGTGAGGCTTGCAATTTGTTTTTTAATTTAGTCAGTTTCTTAACTAAACGATCATTCTCAGTTCTTAGCTCGGACTCTATAACAAAAAACGTAAATTTCTAAACTGTTTAAGAACACACATCATTCTTATTAAAGAATTCATGCAAAATAAATTTCAATAATTCGAATTTAAATTAATGAAAGCTTTGAGGATAATTTGTGCAAAATAACTGCAAACTGTTCATAAAAAGATTAAAATTCAAAACGCGAGAAATTTTAGGGAACAATGTTATACCTACCTTTTTGCGTCAATTCGTTTAATTTCTCATTGAAACGATGTTTCTCCATTTGTACGGACACTTGCACCTCTTTGCTCTGATTACTTCTTTGCAATTTTTCATCTTTTTGATTTTCTTTACACTTTTCATTCTGCACTTTGATTTTATTAAGTAAGCGTTGTAGTTGTTGCTTTAATTGCTCAATTTCCATTTCCTTTTGAGTTATCTCATTATTCGCTTGCGTTTCCACAGACAAAGCGGCATCCTTTAATTCGTCTAATCGTTTTTGCAATTCTCTATTGAATTTTTCCAAATTTAAAGCTCTTCGCATAGCTTCATGCATTTGATGCTGATATTCACGGATACGCGCTAAACTCTCCAATTTTTCACGTTGCAATAAATCTATGTCTTCATTAAGGCTACCAACATTTTTATAACAACACTCGCGGGCCAAAATGTTAGGCGCACGCCCTCCAGAAAGCAGTTCATTTAACCGTAAAATCTCACGTTCGCGAGCTTCAATCTAAAAAGAAAACCTAATTAAAACAAAAATTTAAAAAAAAAAAAAAAAGATGCAATTTCTTTAATTACTTTGTTTCTATAAAATTTGATATTCTCCATTAATTCTAGTTTCGCGTTTTCCCATTTATCTGCATCCTTCTCTAATGATTTTGTTTGCGTAGCACCGTCATGTCTGTGATAAAAACCAGCATTACATTTAGTACACCGCAAATCGATATTGTGATCTTGTAAGAGATTTACTGCAGACGAAAACATATCACCACTTCGTACAGCAGTAATAAAAGGTTTTTTACCTATAAAAAATTGAATTCTCATAATTATTATTCTTTCTCTTCTTTTATTCATTTTTAATTTACCTTTATCTACTCTCGCGCCACTCTTCACAACCCCAATATTTGTTTTGGATTGTATTGAACCGAGTTGATTTTGCAATTGTTGACACTGCTTATGCAAATGCGATTTATCGGTTTCTAATTCTCGATTTTTTTTATGAAGTTCTAAGCGAAATAAAAATATAAAATAAATTATATAAATATATATTTTCTTATTACATTTATATTTACCATTTATTTGTTCCTCGTAACCTTCCTTTTGTCGAATTAACTGTAAATGTAATTGATTGCATTCTGTCAACAAACGTGAATTATCACACTTATACGGCTCAACACCTAGTTCCCAAGATGATTTTTCCTTCAAAACAATAATATTTATAAATGCCTTCACGCAAACGAACTTTAAATGCTTTATAAATAACGTATGCACTAAAGTAAATGATAAATAACTAACAAAAGAGTTGTGTGTGCTTATGTGTGTATTTTTATATGTATGTATTTAAATAGGACACCAGAATGACCATATGATTAGTTAAACTGAATGTCTTCACTCAACTACCTCCAATAATTCGATTAATTGCTTTTTAGAATCCCTTAAACTCTCCGTCGTTTTTACTAAATCTTCAAACACAGCACCAACAATTGGTACAGCCGCCAAAGGCAACGTTTGATTATAGCCCATTACATCTAGCTTTTGTCGCAGATTTTTAAAAATGCTGTCACTAGTACACATATTTGCAAATATTAAAATTTATAAATTGCTATACAATATTTCTAACAAATTACAAAAAAAAAAACAGACAAATTACAGCGCGCGGTTTATTGTCTTTATGGTAATTTATAGACCGCTGCGAATTGTTAAAAAATGAAAAATGAATAACTGTGAAAATACCAAACAAGAACGGAACGGAACGAGAAACGGAACGGAATATAAAACTGAAATGTGGCATTTTTAATCATATAATCGAATAGTAGTTTAAGTTTTTCTGATAAATTCATTTTTTTATATTAAATTAATTAATAAATTAAATGAACGAATAAAAATTTCGAAAATCTTTAATAAATAAATGATTATTTACTGACAACAAACGTGCTAATAAGCGCATCATTAACATTCGAATAAAGACTGTTTACTTTCTGTAGGCTTTTTAAAAAGTTACATGTCACTCAACGCTTGACTTCACGCACTAAAAATATTGCACTTGTTTATAATTTTGGTTAAGTAGTAAAAGCAGGATATGATATACAGGTTAGCCCAGTAAAAGAAAAATCTGCCTTCAAAATAAAGGAAAACTTTGAAAAAAAAAAAGATATTGGATTTTGCGTCTTCAAGACTGTTTTCTATTAACGCTGTAAAAATGTAGAATGTTTCACTCGTAAATAGTACGGTAGAAAGCAACCCTGTTAAAACTATAAATTTTACAAAGCTAGTACCGTGTGTGGTTGTTGTTGCAAATTCTAATTTTTGTTTACAATATCCATGCACGTGCTATTGTTTACATTAAAAAATAATCTCAAGAGCTTTTGTTTTTCTTCTTTACTTCTGCATTTTTGGTAAGTGTTCCCTATAGGATAGCATCCATTAAATCTAATATAACGTCAGCTTGGCTCCCTTGAGGATTATTATTTGAATAATATTGACAAAAATATCAGATTGAGGATGGTTGGAGAGTGGTATTGAATTAACTCGTTAACCTGCTGGCCAAACAGTACTTAATAATCAGATTGTTGATAAGGCTGCTGATTAGGGTGCCAAAGGCATTTCAAATCCTGAAATCAACTTATTTGAGTATGCTACGCAGCGTGATTTTCGTGTATTTGCTAAAACCTATGAAAATTGTGAGGACAAACGTATGAATATCTCTTCTCATCTTTATTTATATGAATACTTTAAAAGTTTTAAATTTCATGGCTTAAAAAAACTCAAAACGGTTAGCAAGAGTAGGGCCAAATTACTTCTCAGTACGATAACTCGTACGATCAAAATGAAAAAATGGTATAATACTGTCGTTAAAAGGGAATGTATTATTTCAAATCCTTCTCCCAGTCTAGCTTGAAAGCCGTTTGTAACATGTAAGATCTCAATGGCAAGTGATTCATACCAATGATATGCGTTCTTCTGAATTGGAAGGATCAATCTCTGAGATTAAACAATTTATCCGCTCGATGAACTCTCAGGATCGTATCAATAAATTTGAAGAAAAAATTTCTTATTGTGCTAATCCTCGATTCGATCAAAGGCCTAGTACTTCGAGTAAATTCCCTGGGATGCTTTTTTATTTAAAATATTATCTCTTTTTTTACAATACAATATACAGGTATTTTTTAGATTGCTTAGAGTACTTTTTTTATTGCGTTATTAGTTTGCAATGACACATGCATTTGAAGAGTTTCCGCTGGAATAACCGATTGTTGTCTATCTTGAACATCCATATAATTGATTTCTAATGATTTAATAGGTATTTAGTTATTGTGCAGCAGCTCGTACTTGCCTGATGCTGTGTACTGCAAGAGATATTTGATTGTTATTGGTACAGTACAAAGTTTACTGGTGACTTGCTGTTATTAATTCTCAATTTAATTTTAAAATTATATTAGTGTTAATTCAGTATTAAGTAAATAAATAAATAAATGATTTTTTAAGCAAACTATGAACTTTTTATTTCTACCGATCATATTTCTTGTAGAAATCAAAAATTTTTATACTGATAACACAAATATGTTAGCTAAATATATTTACATTTTGTAATTAGTTAATATTCAAAGAATTTTCCAATAAGATATTTTAAAAAGCATAACTTATTTAAAAATATTTTACATATTTCGCAAACATATTGCGAAAAATACACTTTTTAACTATTAATTTTATATGTAAGATTTGTGAAAATTTTTTAAATTTCTTTATTATAGCCGATGACGAATTATGTTAATTACATGAAAAAAGAATAAAGTAAAAAACGAATATATATTAATTGACAATTTATTAAACTGCAGTTGCAAATAGAATAACTACCAGTAGCATGTATGTAAAATAACTATTTGATGATATTCTTTTCAATGACCTTCTTCAGCGATGAGTATCAACAATCTTTTCTTTTTTTAAAGATTAGATTCCATCCGCAATGCAAATCAAGCATCTCGTTTTTTAATCACACCGGACACGTGTTTAATTCGCTGCATTATTCGGATTTTGTACACTTTTTCTCTCTCTGATAACTCCGATAAAATAAACAACAAAATTTCTTGCTTTAAAACAAAATGTTTCCTTTGTTTCTATACAAAGTTCCTAGTATTTCATTCAAAGTTATCGCTTATTAATACAAATTTTTAACTTTCCGATCGCAAACTTCAATCTTATACTTTTTTTCTTTTTTTTTTTTTTTAATAATTTAGTTTGTAATTGATTTAAGAGTGACTATTATGCAGAAGAAAATTATACATAAAATCTAGATCGTTTAGATCCTTTTCACACTGAATGGGCCCTGACGGTGAATTTTTGGTTTTTTCGTTTTTTAAATTATTGCAAACACGATTTTGGACAAATCATTTCCGTTTATTTACTGATTGTTCTACAAACAAGACGAGACTATCGATATATGGCCTTTATTTCAATTTTCGCAACTTTGGAAGTGGTAACAACAAGTATGCGGATGCGCGTGGCCAATTTGGGGTATACGCTGATCAACAATTGTATATACACTTCAGCAGCTGTCTGATACATATTTCGCCATTTTACAAATGTAATAATAAATAATTATAGTCTCAACATTTGGAGACGACTACAAAGATATATATATAGATGCAAAATCTATTGACCGCCACTTTTCGAATATCTCTTCCAATATTTTTTAACATCATCATGACCATTTTTAGTGACTACCATAGTGCGGGTTCGTTCATTTTGCCAAACGAGCACACCTATCGACTGAGCGTAATCCCGCAATGTTACAAAATCGGCCTGTGATAAAAACTGATTGTATACTACACCCTCGGTATAAGTGAAACGATTACGTTCCAATTCCCATAACTTTATTTGATCGACTACAGTCGGTGGTAAAGGCGATTTGGATTTGATAGCCGATTCCGTGAACTTCATACTCGGATGAGCATATTGCTCTAAATAGCTGATAATTTGGTCAGCGGTGATACCACCTCTTAACGCTTGCCGTACAGAATCACGTGTTAATACGCCCACTACAAGATTGGGAAACCGATAAAGTAGCTCAGTGAATAAACCCAAAACAGCTACTTGCAACGGGGAGTCCGTATAAGCGTAAACGCGATAATTAGTTTCCACTATTATATATCCGCCTTCTTGAACTTTTTCTTCATCAGCAACTATTGTTGGCGCAATTGCCACTTTATTAGTTATATTTAAAGCTAAGCGGGTTGGATAAAAACGCCCTTCTTTACGTTTACGTTGGAAAACTAATCCAAATTCACGTAAATGCTGTAGAAAAGTGAGCATTTTTGGACTCATTCCTTCGGAACTGTAGTCACGCCCCAATGTGGAGAAACTAAGTTGAAACAACATGCTTAGACATTCGGGCAATGATAATCCTCTTTCCTCACAGGTATCCAAATATTGCAACATAAAATGCCATACTTGGGATTGCGTGTCGAGTAATAAAAACTGGAAACCTTGACGTGTTATGGTAATGCCTGCTTCATCTCGCTTCATTAGATTGGCATGCAATAAAATTATAACCGCATCGGGACTAATAACCTCATTATCTTGGCCTTTATTTGTTCCACCGGTGCCCACCATATAATACAATACACAACGCCAGCGGGACATGGCGTATTGGTCCAGAAATGCTATATCACGAGGTTTAGAATCTTTTTCCATTGTGTGAGACATAGACCAAGGACGGCCGCCACCCAACAAAGCTATCTTGAGATTTTTTTTGAATGTAGGACATAATTCCCATGCTGACAAACCACCTGGTATAGCTGTAACACGCCAAACATTTAATTCTGATAAGCAACTAGTGGCGCCGGCTTGCTCCCTGCGGGAATAATTTAAAAATTAAAGGAATCACCACGCCATCACATTTTCTTACTTGGCATAATGCTGAGATCCCCAGGAGGTAACCACTGCCTGTGGCACTGGTTGTTCCACAAACAAAATTCGTATAACAAATTGTCTAGCAATCTCCGGTAGCTCACGATACACTGCCAAGCAAATGGTAGGATAATTATAAAGCTTTTCCAGTGTATCAGCGTTCCTCGTACGCAAATACTCCTGAAAATCTTTACACTGTAAATTGCACGGCTTAGGTATCAATGCGAATGCTTGTGAGCTGGAGCCATGTCGAGATGATTTCGGATCGGACATATTTGCTTAATTTGATATAATTGAAACTGTTTTGCAAAATTGCAAATTATTTTAAAAAAAACAAAGCACTTTTAAGTTAGATGTACACTTTAACGCAAACCAAAATAAAACTAAACAAAACGGCGCCATATGCGAAATTCAAACTAGAGCTGCCAGGTTGCAATTTATGAAATTTTAATAGTTGTTTTATCTTTTTTGATTTTTATATATATGTCCAAGTCTCATCAGAGATTTTTACCACCGTGAAAGTATAGTAACGGAAAAGCTACCGCTCGTTTTTGAATAAACCTTCTTCGAAGTTTAGAATGCTCTACGGACTCATGAGTGGACTCTGTTAGGACAAAATCGACATGAAAATGTTTGGATCCTCCCTGAATGACTCATGTGATGTGCGCAACATAAAAAAAATTGGGAGAATATCCAATTCTTATATCTTATCACTTATAACTATTAAAGTTTTATAAAATATCGTCAAAATGAACATATATAGGCCAGATATATCATTAGCTTAGCCCAAGCGTATTCCGAAGGTCGAATACAAAAAAAAAAAAAAATTAAAATAAGACACCATTTTAGCTTGTTTTCTAATTGACTAGGGTCTCGCAGCATAAGAAATTCTATATCTAAAAATAATTTTTATATACCTACTTTGAGTCTGAAGTACAATATGGACTTAAAAACAGTATAGTTCGTCTATGTTGGTTCACAGTCACTTTTATTAAAGAAAAACTACTGTACATTGTTTTTAATTTTTGTTTTAGCGCGAACGCTCATAAAATACGCTTTCTACCCTATCTTGAGGGAAACAAAATGAAAACGATTTAAAAAAAAGTAATCTAAATTATTACTCCACTAAGCATTTTATTGATTCCAAATTACCTTTAGAATTTGCGTTATTAAAAGTATAAAAGTTTGAATCCTAAATACCAACAAAGAAAAAAAAAAGAACTAACTTATCGAAAACATTTTTAAAAATTTTTAAAAAACAATATCAAATCATAACAACAATAATATCAATTGCAATAATGAGCTTAGAATGAGGCGACCAACGGCATTTAGAATATTACAGGCCTTTGAGGCAAACACAAATTATAATAGCTTCTTTTATCCCAAAAATCGGGCCCCTTCCAACCACACCAGCCCTTCGATTGTATGGTATGTAAATCGTCTTCGCCGGTATAATGAGGATCTAAAATAAGGTATTTCATTTCACCACTTTGTAGACAATAATCAACCCCAATTATCGTATGAGCCAAAACTCCGCCGCCGGTCATTATAGGTGTGCCTTGTGTCTGAAAATGCATAACCAACTCGGAACCTAAAGTAGAAAGTTCTGCCCCTGAACTAACATGCAGTATCTTCGAATCAACGCCCAGAAAGCCCTGCAAACACATGCTAACTTCGGTTGAACCTAAAAAGAATTTGATTATTTTACTATTATTAAAAATAAGAAAATTAGTTTTACCAATCCACTGAGATGATCCTTTAAAAGATGGAGGCTTATCACCGATTTTGACCAAATATTCTTGTATTTCTATATGTGTGGGCACTTTCCGATCCGTATACCCCTGTAGCAAAAACCACGAGCATATAGTTTGCAATGATCTGTACGCACAGCCCCACCCTTTATCTTGTATTTGTTGTTGTAGATAATGATAATAGTAATAGTTTCCTTTCACCAGGTACTGTTTACCTTCGGTGACACCGCTTGATTTGACATTCACATGAGTATTAATAAGAGGGCTTTGAGGCGGTAATTCATTTCGAAATATACAAGCGTTTGAACGTCTAAAATAGGGTCGTGTTATCGGCAAACCAAAGTGACGATGTAGTCGTTTACGCTTATCTTGCATGCTGGGGCTACAATCATCTAATCCTTCCAAATAGGAGCAGGATATAAAATGTCCAAATTCCTATAATTATAAACATGTGTACTAAAAAATCAGCTTGCATCTGGAAAACGTTTTACTGTTTTTTAAAAATAAATTAAATTTAATTAGAAGAAAGGATTTCCAGTGTAACCTAACTCATTTCTAAAAATATTTAATAAATATAAGCAAAAAAAACTATCTGCATAAAAAATTCTTAACCCACCTGCGGAAAGAAATTGTACATTTTTGGGGCCTTAAGCTTCTGAAATTCTGTATTTTCCAAACGTTCACTAATGCTTTGTTCACTTAAACGCAAGGCACGGCATATGCTCTCTATTAGTATGTCATAGAGTCTTGATACTTTGGTGGATTTGTTAAGTATGGCCATTGATTCGACTTCAATAGGAATACTGAATTTATGTTCATTAGGCCTTAGGCACATACTCATAGATGGTAAAATTCGAGATGAGCTTTCAGCTTCAGTGACATCACGTGTCTTACAGCGTAATACTGCAATATCGATTATGTCATAATCACTACCCAACGCACCATAAATTGTACTCAATTTGATGTCCTGGATACAAGACTTTTTAGTCTTTACATTTTCCTTATCTTCTTGATTTGTCAATAGAACTTCGCGTACCGCATTTAAAATATCCATTATGAAACTTTCATTAGTAACATTTTGCTTACCGTCCGCATAACTTTTTCCATGAATGCTGGTATTTGTTAAAAATACTTTAGTGGGTTGAATATTAAAAGCCAAGCTACCACCCGACAACATTTTTCTTAAAGCGTGCATTTCATGCTGTACTGATTGATTGGTAGCTTCACAGTATATTGTCCAATTGCATTTAAGACGAGTGAAGCAAAAGTCTCGATATAATTGGGCAGGCATCATAACCTCGTAGGGCACTTGTTCCAATTTGCCATGCATGAGAAAATATGCTTTTAAGCCGACTAAAGTCCCCAACTCACAATGCAACAATATGGGGTTGTCAGTGATGTCAACATCTTTAAACACCTCACTCAGATGAGCTTCAACATCACTGCAATCCCCGAATTTAACCAAGCCACATAAATCTAATTCAGCTGGGAATTTGTATTGAATTTGTTCATAATTTAAATGACCGATAGTGGATTCAACGTTAAAACCCATTAACAAAAGGGTCCCTTCACCATAAAATACACCAAACAAACAACCGCTGCATTGTTGCTTAACTTGTTCTAAACGCTATTAAAAAAACCAAACATTATTCAAGAAAAAGTTTTTTAAGTCAAGTTTCACCTTCAATAAATAATCGGAAATCTTTAATTTAGGCAACATGTTCTGATGATTCCAGAAACAAGCAAATTGATACGTTGGCACACAATTACGGCTGCACCAACAACTTTCCTACAGAGTTGCCATAACAACTAATAGCAATATAGCAGCGCTACCACTCATTTATTACAAATAAAAAAGTGCAGGCCACACTATAATATCATACACAGAAATGGTTTAATTTTTTTAGTCTAAACAATTCTTAATAGCTGCTAAAAGTAGAAGTCATTCTAATAAATTTAATACGTTCACGAATAACTTATTTTATTAGCGGAAATTCCTCTTTATTAGTACGACGTTAAAGTTAGTCCAAGAGAAACAAATCAAAGGAAAAAAAAAATAACGAAATTGAAACCCATTTTAGACGATTTATATAGCTTAAGGCACGATATAATAAGACGTGACTGCTTTTTCCAGCTAATTAAGGGAAGACACAATGATGCATTGGTGCGTTTTTCTACTTAACGACTTCCAAATTAATAAGCACAGTGTGAACTGCGTTACCATATTATTTGGTAAGAAAAAAATAAAGAAATGGATAGAAATTGACACAACATATGGTTAAGGAAATAAAATTAGAGAAAACAAAATAAATGTAAACAACAAATATATGGAAAACAAACGATGAAAAATTTGTTGTAAAAGCGAATAAGATTTTTAATTAGTTAATGAAATGAAGGATTAAGCAAAATGAGTTTAAAAGAAGCAGCTTGACGTAATTAAATAAATCAAAAGGAGAAAAGCTGAAAAGTTTTGATTTGAAACATATATTTTAAATTGGAAAACAAATTGCCTTTATAGCATGTTTTCCACTTTTTATAAAATAACGCATAGTATAAAATAAAATTTCCAATCGTATAATATGAAAAGATTTAAATTAATGCAAAATAATCATAAATTAGATAAGTAGCTTCTAAATTCAAAATAAATTCTCTTTATTTCTTGTTTTGCATTTTTTTTTTCGTTTTATTTATTTGTATACATATAAAATCATGTGATATGCCAATTCCCATAAAATCTTGTAAAAAGGTGAAAAATTAAATTCCCACTCGACCGAGAGCAATTAATCCTCTTTAATTCAACGTTCAAGTACATCTGATATTGCGCAGGTTAATAAAAACGATAATTATATTTTGGCGAAGTGAACGTGAGGAATAGCCACTATTTCACCTGATAATGCGAAACGATATAAGAAGAAAATAATTTGAACATCATAAAATTTCTACGTTTTCTTAGGTACTGTTAACGAAGAAGTTAAGTTTATTTTTTTCTGTAAATTCAATTATTCGACGCAATGAGTTAACTCATCAAACTTCATTCTTTTTAGATATAAGTAGCAAACAATATCAATCTAATGCATATTTACAAGAGAACGACAAACTTGACTAGCGCTAATTCAAGAGACGTTTGAATTGTAGTTTAGTTATATATTTTGAATAATTACGCCCTCTAATTATAAGTAAAAAAAATAGTAGGTAAATGTGAAGCCACTGATTCAAAAAAAGGAAAAAAAAATTTATATATTTTCATTTCCGATTCCTTATTAAATTTTAATGATTCAGACTGCGCTAATAAAATGTTTGAAAATGAATGATGACAAGTTTGATTTGAAACACACGCTGCAAAAATCATGTAATACAATGTTAAGGGCAATCTGGTAATGGGCAGTTACAACTAGTACATCAAGCCAAGACTAGAGCCCAGTGCGCTTGAGTGGAAGAGCTTTGAGAGGCTGTTTGGAGACTTTCAACTATGGGCAGTGAAAGACTTCAATATTCAGGGGTGGTTGTACTTTAGCCGCCCAGCCTTTTTGGAGCGTTGTAATTGCTGTTGTTTTTGACACATTTTAAATTGAATATACAAAAAGACAATTCCACCTTTTCCTTACCTTAACATCATCCCATATGTTTTAAATCACGAATTTTATAGGCAAAGCTCGCCCATAATATATGATAGCATTATATTTTATGGTAATGAGATTAAAGAGTTGCGCCATGTTAATGGTAACCCTAATCATAGAGTAATAAAAAATGTGAATTTCTGGCCACACTGAACACAGAAAAGAAAAAAATTCATCGGCAAATACAAAAACATTTTACAAAAATTATTTGTGTAACAAAAAAAGGAAAGGAAAAGTTATCACAAAAATAAAACAGTAGAAACATTGAACAAATTTTGTGTTTAAAAAAATTTGTGCGTTAAGCAAATTTTAAGCGAATTTTTGTAGACTTGTATAAAAAATAAGGTGAGCGACTAAAACAGAAAAAAGTTTCTTGTTTAAGGAGAAAAAAGAACAGAATAATTAGTGAGAGTGACGCAGCAATAAAATTAAATTTTTAAATTGTAAATGAATGACAGTCTGGAAGATTATTTAATTAAGCGAAAAGGATATTTTAATGTTGAAATAAGAAATAGATGTTTAAATATTTCACGGCAGTTGCGAAGTAGTGGGTCTCTAAAAAACAAAATATCTATATGATTATCAATATGATTTTTATGCTTTTTCTTGAAGGCCTGCATTGACAATAATGACACTGTATTTATAATATCAATAATTTAATGTTATTTTTGCAAAATTTTCAAATAATTTTTTTTAGTTTTTGAAAACTGATGTATAAATTTTCGATTTCAGGTTTTCTTCGTGTTTTAATAAGAAAACGATAAAAACTATTAACCCAGGATTTAGTCGAGGCATTTTTTTTTGCTAGGCTTAAGAGCTCTGTGTACGAACGTTTACCCTATCTCATAAATGTCACATACAACAGCTACACCACCCTCAACGGCCACACCCAGCAGTTCTGCGGTGCGAGCTTTGGCTCTAGAATACAAATCTCTGCAGGAAGAGCCTGTCGAAGGCTTTCGTGTCAAATTATTGAATGAAGATAACCTATTTGAGTGGGAGGTAGCTATATTTGGGCCACCCGATACTTTGTATCAAGGCGGATATTTTAAGGCTCATATGAAATTTCCGCCTGACTATCCTTATTCACCACCGTCTATACGTTTCTTAACAAAAGTTTGGCATCCGAATGTATACGAAAACGGTGATCTCTGCATTTCGATACTGCATCCACCTGTCGACGATCCCCAAAGTGGTGAATTGCCTTGTGAACGTTGGAATCCTACACAAAATGTACGTACGATTTTGTTGTCAGTAATATCGTTGCTCAATGAACCGAATACCTATTCCCCGGCAAATGTTGATGCTTCGGTTATGTATAGAAGATGGAGAGATTCTCAGGTAAGTTACCGACATTTCTACCATACTTTTTATAAAATTCACATTGGATAGATCAATTTAGTTGACTATTTATTAAATGAATTAATATGAACTAGATTTATGTATTTCGGCACAACGTTGCAAACATTTTAAATGATATATTATCTATTCGCCATTTTCAATACTTTTGCATATAAGGACTGTTAAATAAAGTCCTTTAATGTAAAACACAATTATGATCACTTTCAAGGTTATGCAAATGAAATTATTTTAATGGAATCGTGTGAACTAAAATAATCCGTGAATTCCGAAATGCTCTGGATGAAAAATGGTTTTAAGAACATGTTTTGCAAGGTTTTCATCTTGATTTTCTGATATATTTGCAGGGCAAGGATAACGAATACCCCAATATTATTAGGAAGCAGGCTTTGGCTGCCAATGCCGAAGCCAAAAAGGAGGGCATAATAGTGCCGATGACTTTGGAAGACTATTGCATTAAACCAACGCGAAAAGAACCCGCAGAACCAACACTTGATACCAACTTCTACGATGATGATTTCGATCTTGAGACCGAAGATGATTTACCTACAGACGATGATGACGACGACGGCGAGGATGACGATGATGTCGATAATGCCGATGATAGTGGCAAAGGTGAAACTACATAAGAAATCCAAGAAAAAGTTTAACGTGCAAAGAAAATGCTTTCAATAGTGTTTATGAGAAGAAAAGAAGCAGTAATAGCAAAAGATTGTGAGTAATAATATATAAAGCATACATAGTCAAGAAAGAATGAGGAAAAATTTTAAACATATAGCAGCGCGACAATTTGAAAAAAAAATCAGTTTCTTTCCACGCCTTTTTTCTTTTTTTAAAAAAATTTTTCTTGTTTAAATTTAAAAATATAGCATGTTCTTTCGTAATTTCTCTAAACAAAAATATATATAAAAAGAAAAAAGATTATGGATGATTTTTGAAAAAAATTTGAAAAGAAAATGAAATTAAGAAGCCCTCAATACAAAGTGAAATTACTTAGTTTATTTTATTATATATATATATATTTGTGTATATGTAGTATTAAGTAATCCACTTACATGTGTGTGTGTGTGTGTGTGTGTACTAAGACGAAGAGGAAATATTAAGCCAAATCGCCAATAAGAGCACCTTATACACAGTTAACAAAATTCAGAAGAAAGAAAAAAAAAAAAAAAAACCCAAACAAACCGAACCGAAGCGAAATCATAAGCAAATTATTTTCATTATTTTATACTTCGTTTTCATTCGTTTTGAAATTCATTTTAGTATAGAAAGTAAACAAATTTATCGAACATAGAATGTTGAAAAAAAAATTTGGATTTATATATTTTTTTTATCTTCTTTATAAAGAAGTTTTTCCATTCTTTTTTTCTATTTTGCTGTTAAATCGAACATATTTCTATATACACTTATTAGCTAAAAATAATGTAAAAATGTTTTTCAGGCTCTGCTATAAGTTTACAATAACAAACATATGAAAAATCTGCATATATAAATCTGTGTAATAATTTTATTTTTTATTTTAATAATTTTTTTATTTTATTTTGTATCTAATGAAATATTTATTTAAATTAGTGATGTCCTTACATTATTACAAACATCAACAGGAACAACAATCTAATAAATAATGTTTAAATGCTCTTAACAAGAACTATTTACTTTGACTGAAGCCAATTAATCCAAATATTATAATACATTTTTTCATAATTAATATAACAATAATAATAAAAAATAAGGCAAGGCACCTATTAAAAAGCCAATAAAATAGATGATAGAAAATCCGATTTTCCATAAAACATATTTTAAATTTGTACAGCAAATCACTTTATAAAACAAATCTTTTTTTATTAGACATTGAAAGTGTTTCATTGAAAACAGCGCCAAAAAAAAAAACGTCTTTTTGTCCTTGGGGCGAATATGATAGACTAAATGGTATTTTGCTACTTATTTTTCAGTTTAGCGACTTTACTTGTTTCTATGGAATTGGAATATAACTGCGAAGAGTCAAAACTTACGCGTTACATAACGTTCAAAAAAATAATTATTTCGTGCAATCACTTTTGTGTTTGCGTCCTGTCATACACGTTGCCTTTCATCTACATGAATGAAATGTAAATGTTTCCCCCATTCGTCTTCTCAATTATTTGAAAATGAGATTTTCATTTAATATCCGACCTGACCTTGACTAAAACTTAAAACGCTCAAGCATGCAATTGAATTTTCATCGAAAAAGTCAACGAAAACTTTGATTTTTGAATGTAGCGCCATGAAACAACGGGCCCCGGTTTGAAGCGACGTGGTTTTGAATAATTGCCATATGCTTACCATTTGAAAAAAGCCATTGGAAGAAAGAAAGCTCTTCAATATTATTTATATTATATTTATTTCATGCATAAAACACAAGAGCCCTTCTTTAAACAAAATTTTTTCTTAATTACTAACGAAAGCTTTTTTAATACTTGCCGTCGAATTTCAAGTCTTACATGGCATCGAAGTGAAAACGATGTGCTTCTTGTAATTTCTCTTGTTTATCTTCACGTTTCTCTTTAATATATAACACTAGTATAATCAAAATGATAACCAGGCAAGTACCACCCAAGGCCACGACGCTCATCAATATCAGTTTACTGGGTGTTACAAACAATTGAGCTTTCCAGCGTTGTGGATCTTCTAAAGGTTTCGGTACTACAATAATTTGTGAATTAGGTATCAATTGAGTCCAAGTACGTGATTTTGAACCTAATCCCACAGTTAGCGAATCAACAAAATTCGGTGTACGACCCAAACCGAATATGGTATATGGCAATTGTAAAGCAAAATAAGAGGATTGCGGTAGTTGAACAGAAGAACCACGTTGAAAATCGCCTTCCTGTGTAGTAGTGAAATACGTTATACGTGGTCCTGGTAAATTAGTTCCGTATGTACGTTTCTTTCGGCCTAATGCTGTCCGCATAGTGGGATTTTTTTTATTAGTTAGACTGGTAAGTACAATAACTTTTACAAAATTGGCATCATAATCCAAAGTGTTGCGGAATGCTAAAGGTCGATAATTACCAGTATTGGATTTTTCTATTAGTATGACATCCAAGACTCCTACAGAAAGAAAGTTAAAAAAATATTCAAGGATAAAAGCAAATTAATTATATAACTTGAAAATTTATATAGATATTTGTAAATTCAAGTTCGTCAAGTATTCAATCATATTCCTACTAGTTGATAAAAGCGAAAGAATTGAAATCACCGTAAAAAAACTTTGAAATTATATTGAAGGAAAACTATCTATATAAGTATATAAAAATGTGTCACCAGAAGACAAGTAATGTAGATCACTGACAATTACTACTTAAACAGTTAGCTACTGGTTTCTTGTTTTATGGCAAGGACTTGACTTAAATTTTTTTATTCGTCAGTATTCCTATATTCTACAAAGGCAGCTTCTCTTTAAATATGCTGCTATTTTAAAAAGTCCCATCTATAAATTTTTTTTATTTTTTTTTTTTGATATAAATTCAAAATTGTTCATAAATAAAATCCGACAAAACATATATTACATATATTACATAGTATTATATATTTATTTTCCCGCCTGTTCCTACCAGCGAAATTTGACGAATCGAAAAATAGCACATATATTTTTGAGAGAATTCCAAAGAAAGATTTTCAAAATTCATGTTCTTTCTGCGCAAAAGCGCACTTAGAAAGGCTAAGAAGCCACAAAAATTGAAAAGAAAATATGTTTTCATCAACAATTACGAGCTGTAACGAACGAATGTCTGAATATGTATTAAATTTCAAGATGCGAAGATGCTTTTGATTGTATCATATTCAAAAATTTAAATATAGATTTTTTTTACATAATTCTTTCTTAAATTCTTACCGTCTTGATAAAAGTCGTAAAAAGCTCCCGCTACTGTGTTCTCTCCTAGAGGACTTAGAGCATTCCATTTCACCTCGTAAGTACGTTTCAACGGGGAATTACACATCTTACAGGGTACATTCTCCAAAAGAAAAGTTTGTCTTTTATGTGTAGCTCCAAATGTTTGCAAGGTCATTATTAAATCTGGATAACCATCCATATTAAAATCACCACTTCTTGCGGTTATAGTTTTTAAATAAACGTCATTTTCCTGCGGTGGGACAAATCCCCATGATACAGCTTGGGGATCCTTGAAATTCACATGTATATCACGAAAACTTTTGCCATCATGCACTAATATTGTAGAGTTAGCACAATCTTGAAAACATATAGGCAATATGACATTTTCCACGCCCTCCAATTCAAAATCGGAAAATACAGCCTGACCCCAAATGGGTTTGGACCCAACTATTGGCAGATCTATAGTACGGTTGAAAGTAAAGCCTTGCTTTTCCTCTGGATCGGCGCCATTGCGACCATGCCATACTTCATAGTGCTTGTCTGTTTGCACCAACAAATCGGCTATAAAATCCCCATTTATATCTAGATAAGCGTTTGCGTTAGGTATACGCATTTCACTTGTTGTAGACGTTTCATATATTGGTTCGGCTTGACTAATCTGAAGGGGAGGTTCACGTGTTTTATTAAAAATCCAAAAGGTTCGGGCGTTATTTTCTCTAACACCATACAAATCAATAATCATGTCACGATTATAATCTATGGCCAAAGGTTCGCCTTTAGTTTTTAAAAGAGGTTCATGTCGTTCGTCAGTACAATTAAGTCCGTCCGAATCACCCCAATGTATGTATACATTATGCACATCATTCTTTGAGCCTTTTTCTTTTACAGTAACCAAAACATCCATTAAGGCGTCGCCGTCATAGTCGCCAGGTACGACACTAGTGATTATATATTTTTTATAACTACAATAAAAATTTGAAGGCCGAAGAAACGGTTCAGTGTCCGCTCCTAGAAAAAAAAAATATTTTCAAATAAAATATGGCTTCAATTATATGTCTTTCTTTACCATATAAAATCTCTAACACTTGCATATTATTGCGTATTAGAAACACATCAGTTAATTCATCGGAATTGAAATCGCCAAAGGCAGCTACAATGCCTTCACGCACTTCACCAAAAACCTGGGGCGTGACATCATTAGCTACGCTGCAATTTAACCAGACTGTTAGCAATAAGCTTGTTAGCCAGTTGATAATTTCCAGAAATTTTGACATTTTTCACATCGATTCTTTAAAAAAAGTTTTACATTTTTACTTCGGAAAAGAGAAAAAATCAATGCTCTCCTCCACTATAAGAGCAAATCGTTTTCATTTTTAATTGAACAAATTTTGATTTATTTATATTAATTTAAAGTATATTTTAGTAAGACTTTTTAATTTTAATTAGTTTATCAGAACTTTCCTTATAAATTTGCAAAAATGAGTCAATCTTTCTTTGTTCAATCAATTAATGTATGGGGTAGAAGCGATTGTTTTTGTTTTTGGACACAGGGATGTATTTTAATGGTAAATTATTTAATAAAGTTTGTTTTGCCGCTTTATTGTCACGCTAAAGTATAGCTAAAATTGATTTACAATTTCAATAAACGTGTGTAATAAACATAGCAAGGCGTTAGACGTACTTTAAATGCAGTTCAATGGACACTTTTCTAAATGCTGAATTTATCTATCACGAAAAGTTGCAAAAATGTAGAAAAAACCCAAGATCACTAAAAAAAAAATCGGCCCAAATTGCGATGAATTGCTAGCTGGTAAAAATAACAAAAAGTTAACTCGCCAATTTCAATGAAACTTAGCCACTTTTGAAAGCTCAAAGGGTTGAAACATTTGACAGCGAATATATCAAACTTGGAAAGAAGGATTTGATTCTTTTATATGTTATTTAATTTTAAAGATTGCACAGTTGTTTAAGTTTAAACAATGTGTATATGTAGACATACATATATATAATTTAGAAAATGCTTGGAATGATCAATTATGGATGTACGTCCGATTAAGTTTGAGGAGAGAGAGAGCGAACTTTACACATAATCGAAGAGAACCTATAATAAGTGAAATTCATTTCATTTTTAAAATGTAAGAGATTGTGCATCTTAGACACTTAGTAGTGCTGTTACATTCGTTAGCCGTCTTTTGAATTACATTTGATTGTTAACTGTTTCGTTTTCATTATTTATATATGCAATAATTATGTTAAAGGTCTTTTAATAAGACATCATATAGTATTCCACGTTTATAAAACAAGGGCACTTCTTTGTTTTTAAGGGCAGGTATATATATACGGTAAGGTGCGTACAATAAAAACTAAATGTAACGAAATGAAATTATTCTTTGCTTTATCGTTTATATCAGCCCAAATTAAAGATTTTTAAATTTTATTTCGTTGTTTTGCTTGGGTGCTTCTCCTTGATATTTTCCAAGCTTATGCATTCTAATTTTCTTCTTTCATAATAAAGTCATAATATAAATCCAGTTTAAAATGCAGAACAATCTTTAATCGCTTCTAACTTACCCACATTAGATTGTTTTTTATTTTCTCTTTTAGTATATACAAATATATATATGTACAGAGGCATGCTGTCAGAACAAATATTTCGCCTTTGTATGCAATCACATTTGACTGTTTTGTAATGATAATAGCATCCGCAATAACTCTTATAAATGATGCTTATAGTATATACACAGGTCAGAGAAAGTTAGCCGAAACAATCTACAACATTTTTGCGAAAATATGGATTTGGCAATAATAAATGTACAAAAGACATAAAAGCTGTTAAGCACTCTTTACAATGTTACAAAATACTTTCCATCTCATCAATTAAATTGTTTTTCCTTAAGAATCTATTATTTTCTATGTTTTCTTTTTGGTAGAATCTGATATGAAGTAAGAGATCTATTGCTTTTCTTTTTTTTCTTTTGAAAAGTATACGCCAACTGTATTGCATACAATTACGGATAAAACACATTAGAGGCGCTTGCACACATCGTGCATTACTTCAATTTGGCAATACATTAAAAAAGTAGATATATAGCTTATAGTTTTGCTTAATTGTAACAAAAACATATCGTTTTAAAAACTGAACATATGAGTAGATTTCCTTTGCATAAACATTAATAAAGCCAGAAATTTCTACCAAAATTTGGTCATTTTCTGTTGCTGTTCAAAAATTGACGACAATTTTTTGTTTTAGTGTCTTGTGTTTTTTAGTGTTTTTTAAATTGCGATAAATTCCTATATATTTAATTCCTACTTAAGGTAATTGTTTGCCCTATAAATAAGCATAGTAATAAGTGATGGCTACATCGATCGTTTCTATGTGCTTTCGTCGGAAGTGAAATCTTAAACAAATATTTAATGTCGTTTTGCCTTCGATATAGAACAATTGTTGTTTAACTGAACAAAGAATTTTCTTTTAGAGGAGAGAATTTTATGAACTATTATAGAGAAAATTAAAAAGTAAACAAATAAAAAGAAAATAGCAGAATAAATAACATTTTACCCTTTGTAATAAGCAAGTTGGAAATTACCTAAGATTGGACGAAAAGAGATGAGTTATTACACCATATTTTTTTTTATATTTTTTTTTATTAGCAAAATAGTGAGATAAGTTGCAACCTTAAGTAGAAATTGATTTTCCTAGAGGAAACTAGCTGAAAGGAAAGAGAACCGTGCTGCAACACAATATTGTAATAAACGAAGAGCATAAATCTGTATATATTTATAGTTTTTTATTGTTGTGCAAATAAATGATAAGAATGTTCTTTTAATTAAATGCAAAAATAACGAATGACTGATATATTATGTACGAGTTTGCGAATATTAATTAAATCCGAATGAAAAACAAATGAAAAATTAAATCTGAAAAAAATCAAGTGTTTCAATAAAAAAAGAATAAGAGTTGTGTTGTATATAACTAACGGCAAGTCCATTATTCACCTATTGTCTAATCATTGCAATTATCGGTTGAGTTAAATAATTTTTGTCATTCGTCATATGAAATGAATATCGTAGGAGATTATGAATACAGCTCCAAAGATATGCTTGGCCATGGTGCATTTGCTGTCGTCTACAGAGGACGTCATCGTAAGGTAAATTTTTGTTATAATTCCAGAGACAGGAAACTCGGAGCAAAATATTTTCCCACAACATGTGTTTAAATCTTTTGTATAAGAGAAATAAATATATATACATAGGAAGTGTTTCGCCATAGGCCGAAGAGAAAATGCGAGAGATGTAGTACAACGAAGAAATAGTTCATTAATGATAATATTAGGGTAGAGGAGTCACTATATTGTTGAATGTGATAGCTTTCAGAAAAAAGATCTATTATAATTTATTTCTTTTTTTTTATTTTACATAAGAGCCGGCCGTTTCTATAGTTGTTTTTTTATTCAAAATTATTTATGCAAGATGTAATTGTATTGTTTTTAGCTAAGCGCTTGTCACGATTCCTCAAATTGTCATTGATTTAGAAGTCGGCATATTCGGAATTTAAATTGCAGAACGTCATTGGTAGATACACATGCATATTATTCATTACCATTTTGCGTTTTATTATTTTCTTCTTAATTGGTTTCTGTTATTATTATAGAGTTTCTAAATAAGCAAATAGTGAATAAGAGAACGAGAATTTTGGTAAACTGCAAAAAAAATAAATAAAAAATAAAATAAAAACAAGTGCTATCAGACAGACAATTGAGAAAACGAAACGAGTAAAAGAAAAACGTATTAAATAAATATGTAGTATGGAAATAAATAAACGCATGAATACAGTACTACATATATATATATATATATATATATATATATATATATATATA